CATTACATTAACCATTACCATTACATTAACTATTACCATTACATTAACCATTACCATTACATTAACTATACCCATTACATTAACTATAACCATTACCATAACTATAACCATTACATTAACTATACCCATTACATTAACTATTACCATTACATTAACTATACCCATTACATTAACTATACCCATTACATTAACTATTACCATTACATTAACTATACCCATTACATTAACCATTACCATGACATTAACTATTACCATTACATTAACCATTACCATTACATTAACTATACCCATTACATTAACTATAACCATTACCATAACTATAACCATTACATTAACTATACCCATTACATTAACTATTACCATTACATTAACTATACCCATTACATTAACTATACCCATTACATTAACTATTACCATTACATTAACTATACCCATTACATTAACCATTACCATTACATTAACTATTACCATTACATTAACCATTACCATTACATTAACTATACCCATTACATTAACTATAACCATTACCATAACTATAACCATTACATTAACTATTACCATTACATTAACTATACCCATTACATTAACTATACCCATTACATTAACTATTACCATTACATTAACTATACCCATTACATTAACCATTACCATTACATTAACTATTACCATTACATTAACCATTACCATTACATTAACTATACCCATTACATTAACTATAACCATTACCATAACTATAACCATTACATTAACTATACCCATTACATTAACTATAACCATTACATTAACTATTACCATTACATTAACTATACCCATTACATTAACCATTACCATTACATTAACTATAACCATTACATTAACTATTACCATTACATTAACTATACCCATTACATTAACTATACCCATTACATTAACTATAACCATTACATTAACTATTACCATTACATTAACTATACCCATTACATTAACCATTACCATTACATTAACTATAACCATTACCATAACTATAACCATTACATTAACTATACCCATTACATTAACTATACCCATTACATTAACTATAACCATTACATTAACTATTACCATTACATTAACTATACCCATTACATTAACTATAACCATTACATTAACTATTACCATTACATTAACTATACCCATTACATTAACCATTACCATGACATTAACTATTACCATTACATTAACCATTACCATTACATTAACTATACCCATTACATTAACTATAACCATTACCATAACTATAACCATTACATTAACTATACCCATTACATTAACTATACCCATTACATTAACTATAACCATTACATTAACTATTACCATTACATTAACTATACCCATTACATTAACCATTACCATTACATTAACTATAACCATTACCATAACTATAACCATTACATTAACTATACCCATTACATTAACTATACCCATTACATTAACTATAACCATTACATTAACTATTACCATTACATTAACTATACCCATTACATTAACTATAACCATTACATTAACTATTACCATTACATTAACTATACCCATTACATTAACCATTACCATTACATTAACTATAACCATTACATTAACTATTACCATTACATTAACTATACCCATTACATTAACTATACCCATTACATTAACTATAACCATTACATTAACTATTACCATTACATTAACTATACCCATTACATTAACCATTACCATTACATTAACTATAACCATTACCATAACTATAACCATTACATTAACTATAACCATTACATTAACTATACCCATTACATTAACTATAACCATTACATTAACTATTACCATTACATTAACTATACCCATTACATTAACTATAACCATTACATTAACTATTACCATTACATTAACTATACCCATTACATTAACCATTACCATGACATTAACTATACCCATTACATTAACTATACCCATTACATTAACTATAACCATTACATTAACTATAACCATTACATTAACTATTACCATTACATTAACTATTTCCAGTAGTGTAACATAACTGTAACTTGTTGTGTTTACTGTTAATCTGTGTTTGCACATTGAGAGCAACGTTAATCTGGAGTCAATGTGCACACAAACCTGATCAATAAAGTGATTGTGACTGACCTCATCGTCCAAACTGAAATAAGATGAATGTGTGATTTTGATAGGATGAACTTGGTGATAAAGTTCTGTTGATAATACGCTGTCATCCTGCGGGGGCGCTGTCCTCCTGCGGGGGCGCTGTCCTCCTGCGGGGGCGCTGTCCTCCTGCAGGGGCGCTGTCCTCCTGCGGGGGCGCTGTCATCCTGGGGGCGCTGTCCTCCTGCGGGGGCGCTGTCATCCTGCGGGGGCGCTGTCATCCTGCGGGGGCGCTGTCCTCCTGCGGGGGGCGCTGTTCCGCACCATGACGTCCACTCTGGCAGAAACCGTAGAAGAAGACGCGGTCTGCAGTAAAGATGGCGGCGCAGTGTGGTTACGGAACACAGGTATTGATCTTGAGTTGAGCTGTGGGCCGTTGCTGTCGCTTCCTGCCGGTGTGTGTCGGTGTGTGTCGGTGAGAGGATGGCCCACCGCTACCTGCGGCTGTCCGCCGGCTGCAGGAGCCTGTTCCGGCTGCTGCTGCCCTCCAACGCTCCGGCCAGGCTGGTAGGTGGATGCTAACATGCTAACCGTGACAGCAGCCAAAACAAGCCCTGACCCCTGACCCCTGACCCCTAACCCCTGACCCCACCGCCCCGCTGACAATGTCAACAACGTCCCGCTAAACCACCGACAGCGGTGTGTTACGTCAGCTGAATTTACCTGTGTGACGTTCCAGCTGTGAGCTTTGTCATTGGCTCACAGTACCTGTTAATAACCTGTGTGTCAGGAGCAGCATTATGATATATATATAATATATAATATATAATATATACTGGTGTGTGTTACATACAGCAGTTACACTAATAAATAATAATAATAATAATTAAAGCTGCAGGCAGCGTTGAGCGGGACCTCGCACTCCACACAACTCGGGGCGTGCTGCGGCCGCGTCACGTGCCATCGTTACACGTACGAACCACAACATGAAAATGTCACGTAACTCAGCTCAAAATCGCCACGCAGCGCTTACTTCCTGTTGCCAGGAGGTGGCGCTATCACTGTGTCTGAATGTTGTCATGTAGACGTGTTCAGGGAGGGGACTGTTATCAAACACGTGAAGTGTCATTGAGATTGGATCACGTACGCTGAAGTTTTTTGTGCTGTTTTATGGTGAATCTGCTGAATTCGTCAGTCGTCACTGGCACGCGGTTTAATGTACAGTCACAGCTCAACTCTTCAAGGTTTGTATGACGACAGAATTCAAAGTGGCCAACTTTGACCTCACGCCACGGACACGCCGTTCAACGTACAGTCTCAAATAGCACAACTTTTAATCAGCACCAATTTTTGAGTGTACTCACAAATTTTGAAGCAGATCCGATAAATTCCCTAAGAGGAGTTCGTTCAAATACAACGCGAAAAGTTTGCCGAAAGTGAAAATTAAAATCAAAATGGCCGACTTCCTGTGGGTTTGGGGTATGGGTCCAAGAGGCTTTTTTGTACGTCCCGAGATTCTAAACGGGCCTACTGAGTTTCGTACATATCGGTGAAACGTGGCGCCGGGGCTGCTGTTTTTTTATCCTGTAGGGGGCGCTACACACAGGACAAACACGATTTTTGGTATGTGAGCTTCAGGCAGCACTCAACACGTGCCCTGTGAATTTCATATTCATAACTATTACGGTGTCCGCACAGTGATTTACCCTGCCACCAGAGCGCCACCTAGTGGCGGATTTTTTTTGTCCTCTTTAAGTGAGCCTCAGGGAGCCATGGGGAAGCATCGTACCAAGTTTCATCTTAATCACATATACCGTTGTAGAGATATAAACTTCTTCATTTTAAAGAGCGCCACCTTGTGGCGATGGCCTGAAACTGTGCACGATGCTTAAGGAAGACATGTGGAACTATGCACCCAAGTTTGGTGTCAATCGGAGATACCAATGTGGAGAAATGGTCCACTTCCTTTTTTGACGAAAAATCCACAGGAAGTGTTAATTTTATAACGTGCTGTTTTTTTTAAATAAAAAATAAAATAAAAATTACTTTAATCACTTTTTTATTATGAGGGTCCTCAGATGCTATGTGAAAATGTTTGTGCGAATCGGACAAAGCACATGGGGGGAACACGAAAAAGTAGTTCACGGACATTTCGTGCTCTGCCGGGAAAAAATTTGAGGCGGAAGTGGGCGTGGCCTATATGGGGAGATTCAGCTCCATTCACCGAATGCGTGGATATAAGTTTTTGAATGTGCGACAAACTATGCGGGAGTTATCAGCCTAAATGCACTTTTCATGATAGTAGCGCCACCTAGTGGCAGACCCGAAAGCAACGCATAGAATATCAAATTTTTCACCAGGCCTGACCACTTTGCCAAATAAACTTGAGTTTTCGTAAATGTTCAGGGGGCAAAAATGTAGTCAAAAGTGCTAAAAATTATAATAGGGAAGAAGAAACGAAGCAAAAACAATAGGGACCTCCAGCGGTGGCTTGCGAGGTCCCTAATGAGTACATGCAGCATTATCTTACAGATCAATAATGTACCTGCTATATAAAGTGTCCTGTTGCTCAGGTGATGTATTCCAGCACGGTGGGACAGGTAGCCAGTGGGCGGAGCCTGCTGAGAGACCTGCTGGGAGCCTACAGGAGACTTAGCTCCAGACCACCTAAAGGTACTACAGACACACACAGACAGACAGACAGCAGGGACACAGACAGACAGACAGCAGGGGACACAGACAGACAGCAGGGGACACAGACAGACAGACAGACAGACAGACAGACAGACAGACAGACAGCAGGGACACATACAGACAGACAGACAGACAGCAGGGACACATACAGACAGACAGACAGACAGCAGGGACACAGACAGACAGCAGGGGACACAGACAGACAGACAGACAGCAGGGGACACAGACAGACAGCAGGGGACAACGACAGACAGCAGGGACACATACAGACAGACAGACAGACAGACAGGACAGCAGGACACACACACACACACACAGACAGACAGACAGCAGGGGACACAGACAGACAGACAGCAGGGGACACAGACAGACAGACAGCAGGGACACAGACAGACAGACAGTGTTAATGTGTTCACTGTTTATTTTCCTTTTCAGGTTTTGAGAAATATTTTCCAGAAAGTCAGAAAACTCCAAAAACCCCTGAAGCAGCAACCAAAGGTAGAAAATCTGCTGACACCTACTGTCATCTACTGACACCTGCGTCACCTACTGACATCTACTGACACCTACTGATACCTATTGTCACTTACTGACACTTACCGTCACCTATTGACATCTACTGTCACCTACTGACACCTACTGTCACTCACCGTCACCTACTGACACCTACTGTCACCTACTGACACTTACCACCATCTATTGACATCTACTGACACCTACTGACACGTACACACACCTACTGACACTTACCGTCACCTACTGTCACCTACTGATACTTACCGCCATCTATTGACATCTACTGACACCTACTGACACGTACACACACCTACTGAAACCTACTGTCACCTACTGACACTTACCGTCACGTACTGTCACCTACTGACACCTACTGTCACCTACTGACACTTACCATCAACTACTGTCACCTACTGACACCTACTGACACCTACTGACACGTACACACACCTACTGACACCTCCTGACACTTACCGTCACCTACTGTCACCTACTGACACTTACCACCATCTATTGACATCTACTGACATCTACTGACACCTACTGACACGTACACACACCTACTGACACCTACTGTCACCTACTGACACTTACCGTCACCTACTGTCACCTACTGACACTTACCGCCATCTATTGACATCTACTGACACCTACTGACACGTACACACACCTACTGTCACCTACTGACACTTACCGTCACGTACTGTCACCTACTGACACCTACTGTCACCTACTGACACCTACTGACACATACACACACCTACTGACACTAACCGTCACCTATTGACATCTACTGACACCTACTGTCACCTACCGTCAACTACCGTCACCTACCGTCACCTACTGTTACCTACTGTGGCCTATTGTCACCTACCGACATCTACTGACATCTACCGTCACATACTGACACATACTGACACCTACTGTCACATACTGACACCTACCGTCACCTACCGTCACCTACTGTCACATACTGACACCTACTGTCACATACTGACACCTACCGTCAACTACTGACACCTGCTGACACCTGCTGTCACCTACTGACACTTGCTGTCACCTACTGACACTTGCTGTCACCTACTGACACTTGCTGTCACCTACTGACGCCTACTGACACCTACTGACACGTACACACTGCTACTGACACCTACTGACACTTACGTCACCTATTAACATCTACTGTCAACTACTGACACCTACCGTCACCTACCGTCACCTACTGTCACCTACTGTCACCCACTGTCATCTACTGTCACCTACTGTCACCTATTCAATTCAATTTTATTTGTATAGCGCCAATTCATAACAGAAGTAATCTCAGGACACTTTTCAAATAGAGCAGGTCTAGACCGAACACCTTATAACATTATTTACAGAGACCCAACAGTACCACCATGAGCAAGACCTTGGAGACAAGGGCAAGGAAAAACTGCCTGTTAGAAGGCAGAAACCTAGGACAGATCCTTCAGCTCTAGGTGGGTGGTCGTCTGTCTCGACCAGTTGGGGTGAGAGAGAGAGAGAGAGACAGCGAGAGAGAGAGAGAGAGCAAGAGACAGACAGACAGACAGGTGCACAGCAACAACAGTATTGGCAATGGCAATCTAGCAGGACCATGGCAGGAGGCTCCACCAGGATCGATAAGAACCTGCGAGACGAGAAAGCACAAGAACTCCGGGGAAGAAGTGAAGTTAGTAACATGCATTAATGGGACATGAATGAGTGCAGAAGAGAGAGGAAGGGGGAGGAGCTCAGTGCACCATGGGGAAATCCCCGATAGTCTAGGCCTATAGCAGCATAACTAAGGGATGGTTCAGGACTCACCTGATCCAGCCCTAACTATAAGCTTTATCAAGAGGAATGTCTTAAGCCTACTCTTGAATGTGGTGAGGGTGTCTGCCTCCCGAACCACAAATGGAAGCTGGTTCCACAGGAGAGGAGCTTGGTAACTGAAGGCTCTGGCTCCTGTTCTACTTTTAGAGACTATAGGAACCACAAGTAGCCCAGCATTCAGAGAACTTAGTGTTCTAGTGGGGTAATAGGGTACTATGAGCTCTTTAAGATATGAAGGGGCCTCACCATGAAGAGCTTTATAGGTGAGGAGGAGCACTTTAAATTTTATTCTACATTTTACAGGGAGCCAATGCAGAGAAGCTAGTACAGGAGAGATGTGATCTCTTTTTCTAGTTCCTGTCAGTACTCGTGCTGCAGCGTTCTGAATTAATTGGAGCGTTTTAATGGACTTATTGGGGCGACCTGATAATAAAGAGTTGCAGTAATCCAGCCTTGAAGTAACAAATGCATGGATTAGTTTTTCTGCATCTGTCTGTGATAGGATGTGTCTAATTTTTGTAATATTACGTAAATGAAAGAAGGCAGTCCTAGAGGTCTGCTTTATGTGGGAGTTAAATGACAAATTCTGATCAAAGATAACTCCAAGATTCCTGACAGTGGTGCTAGAGGCCAAGTTAATGCCATCTAGAGTAACTATATCTTTAATTAAATTTTTCAATTCAATTTTATTTGTATAGCGCCAATTCATAACAGAAGTTATCTCAGGACACTTTTCAAATAGAGCAGGTCTAGACCGAACTCTTTAACATTAATTACAGAGACCCAACAGTTTAGACAGTGAGTCTCTAAGGTTTTTGGGGCCAAGAACAAGAATTTCGTTTTTTTCTGAGTTTAACATCAGAAAATTGCAGGTCATCCAGGATTTTATGTCCTTAAGACATGTTTGTAATTTAGATAATTGATTAATTTCATCAGGCTTGATTGATAGATATAACTGCGTATCATCTGCATAACAGTGAAAGTTAATGGAGTGATTCCTAATAATGTTGCCTAAAGGGAGCATATATAAAGTAAATAGTATTGGTCCAAGTACAGAACCTTGTGGAACTCCATGACTTACTGTAGTATTTATTGAAGATTCATCGTTAACATGTACAAACTGCGAACGATCTGATAGATATGAATTAAACCAGCTTAGTGCGGTTCCTTTAATGCCAATTTGATGCTTAAGTCTCTGTAAAAGAATATCATGGTCAATGGTGTCAAATGCAGCACCAAGATCTAATAATACAAGTACAGAGACAAGTCCATTGTCGGAAGCAATCAGAAGGTCATTATTAACTTTAACCAGAGCTGTCTCTGTGCTATGATGAACTCTAAATCCTGACTGAAAATCCTCAAATAAACTATTGTTATGTAGAAAGTCACACAACTCTTTGGCGACTACTTTCTCCAGAATCTTAGAGAGGAAGGGGAGGTTAGAAATCGGTCTATAGTTGGCTAAAACCCCTGGGTCAAGAGTGGACTTTTTAAGAAGGGGTTTAAATACAGCTACTTTAAAGGACTGTGGTACATATCCTGATAATAAGAAAGATTAATCATATCCAGTAAAGAAGTGCCAATTAAGGGTACGACTTCTTAAAGCAGCCTAGTTGGGATCGGGTCTAATAGACAGGTTGATGGCTTCGATGAAGAAATGATTGAAGTTAACTGATGAAGATTGACAGCAGAAAAACAGTCTAAATCTATATCTAAGTTTACATTAGCAGAAGTTCCTGAACTTTGAGAGCCACTGATAACTGTTGATGGCAGTTGGTGATTAATTTTCTCTCTAATAGTAATAATTTTATTATAGAAGAAGCTCATAAAGTCGTTGCTACTTGAGTTTATGGGGATATGTGGCTCAATAGAGCTGTGGCTCTCTGTCAGCCTGGCTACAGTGCTGAAGAGGAACCTAGGGTTATTCTTATTTTCTTCTATTAGTGCTGAATAATAGGCTCCTCTGGCATTACAGAGGGCCTTTCAATAAGTTTTAAGATTATCTTGCCAAATTGAGCGATATTCTGATAATTTGGAAGAGCGCCATTTCATTTCAGATTTCATAGCTATTTGTTTTAACTGACGGGTTTGGTGGTTATACCAAGGTGCTAGTCTCCTATGTTTTAATTATTTCCTTTTTATAGGAGCGATAGAGTCTAATGAGCCTGCAGCACTATCGACAACATTATCAATTTCAGAGGGACTAAAGTCGTTATAGGACTCTGTTAAATTCAGACATGGCATTGAATTAAACACTGAAGGAATCTCCTCCTTAAATTTAGCTACAGCACTGTCAGATAAACATCTGCTGTAGGAAGTTTTGCCTAATGGCTTATAATCTAATAGTATGAATTCAAAAGTTATTAAATAATGGTCAGATAGGAAAGGATTATGTGGGAAGACTATTAAATGTTCAATATCAATGCCATATGATAGAACAAGGTCAAGAGTGTGATTAAAACAATGAGTTGGTTTATTTACACTCTGACAGAAGCCAATTGAGTCTATTAATGAGATAAATGCGTTACTAAGGCTGTCATTGTCAACATCCACATGAATATTAAAATCACCCACAATAATTACTTTATCTGATTTAAGGACTAAACTTGATAAAAACTCAGAGAATTCAGATATAAAATCAGAGTACGGTCCAGGAGCGCGGTACACTATAACAAATAGAACTGGCTGCATTGTTTTCCAGTTTGGGTGAGAAAGACTAAGAACAAGGCTTTCAAATGAATTATAATTTAGTTTAGGTTTAGGGTCCATTAAAACGCTCGAATCATATATGGCTGCCACTCCACCTCCTCGGCCAGTGCCTCGAGGAATGTGAGTATTAATATGACTGGGGGGTGGATTCATTTAGGCTAACATACTCCTCGTGGGACAACCAGGTCTCAGTAAGACAAAGTAAATCAATATCATAATCTGATATTAATTCATTCACTAAAACAGCTTTAGAGGACAGAGACCTGATATTTAACAGTCCACATTTCATTCTCTTATTTTGTGCTACTGAGGAGTTGGTTTTAATTTTTATTAGATTTTTATGTTGAACTCCTCTTGTTTTTATTTCTTTAAATAGTTTAGGTGGTCGGGGGGACAGACACAGTCTCTATGGGGTTTTGGGTGGGTGACTGTTCTAAAGAAAGCGCAGAGAAGTGTGTAAGACAGCAGCTCTGCTTCCTGGTCCTAACTCTGGACTGTCAGGTTTTAGAAATAAACTTCGCCATATTCCTAGATAAGAGAGCCGCTCCATCCAAAGTGGGATGGATGCCGTCTCTCCTAATCAGACCAGGTTTTCCCCAAAAAGGCTTCCAGTTATCAATGAAGCCCACATCGTTTGCTGGACACCACCTCGACAGCCAGCGGTGGAATGACGACATGCGGCTATACATGTCATCACTGGTCACATTGGGCAGGGGTCCAGAGAAAACTACGGAGTCCGACATTGTCTTAGCATAATTACACACCGACTCCACATTAATCTTAGTGACCTCCGATTGGCGTAAACGGGTGTCATTACCGCCGACGTGGATAACAATCTTACTGTATTTACGTTTATCTTTAGCCAGCAGTTTTAAATTTGATTCAGTGTCGCCCGCTCTGGCCCCAGGGATACATTAAACTATGGCCGCTGGCTTCGCTAACTTCACGTTTCTGACTATGGAGCTGCCAATAACCAGAGTTGGTTCCTCAGCGGGTGTATCGCTGAGTGGGGAAAATTTATTAGAAACGTGAATGGGTTGGTGGTGACCTGTGGGCTTCGCCGTTCTAGTCTTCCTTCGCTCAGTCACCCAGCCTCCCTGTCTTCCCGGCTGCTTGGGAACTACCGGAGGAACTACCGGAGGAACTACCGGAGGAACTACCGGGGGAACTACCGGGGGACAGCTAGCAGAAGCTACCTTCGGTCGGACCGTACCGGCTACTGGGGGCTGGCTAACTATAGCGGCTAAAGATATCTCCGTGGTGCGGTGCCGTTCCTCTAACTCACTAAGCCTCGCCTCCAGCGCAGTAAATAAACTACATTTAATACAGGTACCATTATCTTTAAAGGAGGCAGAGGAATAACTGAACATCTGACACACTGAGCAGGACAGAGGAGAGGGAGAGGGAGAAGCCATAGCTAACTGCTAATGTTACTGAAGCTAGCGTGTATGAAAAACTTTGAAAATAGTGAAAAGTCCCTAAAAGAGGGAGAAACTCCAAGTGTTTAGGTAGAACTAGTCTACGTTTAAATGTTAAGTGGGAAAATAACCGCTGTAACGAGTAAAACTAATTTATATTTAGCGTTCACTGACAGAGCTACAGCACCAAACAGTGTACACAGAGCAGGAAGGAAACCGGGAATGAGTCAGTACGCTTACCGTAGCACGTCACGTGCAAATCAGGAGGCGTGTAACCTACTGGCACCTACCGTCACCTACCGTCACCTACCGTCACCTATTGTCACCTACTGACACCTACTGACACCTACTGTCACCTACTGTCACCTACTGACACCTACTGACACCTATTGTCACCTACCGTCACCTACCGTCACCTACTGTCACCTACCGTCACCTACCGTCACCTACTGTCACCTACTGACACTTACCATCACCTATTGACATCTACCGTCACCTACTGACACCTGGTGACAGTAGCCGTCACCTACTGTCACCTATTGACATCTACTGTCACCTACTGACACCTATTGACACCTACTGACACCTATTGACACCTACTGACACCTATTGACATGTACGCACACCTACTGACACCTACCGTCACCTACTGACACCTACTGTCACCCACTGTCATCTACTGACACCTACTGACACCTACTGACACCTACCGTCACCTACCGTCACCTATTGTCACCTACCGTCACCTACTGACACCTATTGTCACCTACCGTCACCGACTGTCACCTACTGTCACCTACTGTCATCTACTGACACTTACCGTCACCTACTGTCACCTACTGTCACCTACTGACACCTGCCCTTACCTAATTCGACTTCTACTGACTTCAGACTCTACTGATTGTATCTATAATAACTACTGAATCTATTGATTGATTATTGTCCGTTCCCAGAATCCAAATCTGACGATTCTCAGAAAAACTCTGGGCGGTCAGAAGGAGGAGCAGGAGGAGCTGGAGGAGCTGGAGGAGGAGGAGGAGGAGGAGGAGGAGGAGGAAAACGAGGAGGCCGTAGGGACGACTGGTATGACCGTCTGCAGAAGGTCAGTGTGGACGAAGAAACAATGAGTTCAGCTGGTCAGACAGGTGTGATCTGATGTCAGGTTGTTTGTTTCAGGGGGACGTTCCCTGGGACAGTAAAGACTTCCGGTTGTACTTCCTGAGCGCAGCAGCCTTCTGGTCAGCCGTTGCCTATTATTTCTTCTTCAGGGATGGAGGTCGAGAAGTCACCTGGAAAGACTTTGTCAACAACTACCTGTCCAAAGGAGTGGTGAGGACAGTGTAATAGTAACGCTTACTCAGATGTTTCTTATCTGACAGTCAGTATAAAACATTAACATTAAACAAATAATAAACAAACATTAAACAAACATTGAATAAACAATAAATAAACAGATGTTACAGCTGTTGACAGGATGTGTTCGGTCCCTCAGGTCGACCGGTTGGAGGTGGTCAACAAGCGCTTTGTCAAAGTGGTTTTCTCTGCTGGGAAGACGCCGGTGGACGGGGTGAGTGTGTTCACTGCATAATTCTTTCAAATTCAGTTAATTGTTTAACTCATCACTTTGTCTCCCAGCATCCTTTGTGTCAGGCAGTGCGTCTGTGCCTCTGTGTCAGTGCGTCTGTGCGTCAGTGTGTCAGTACCTTTGTGCGTCAGTGCCTCTGTGTCAGTGCGTCAGTGTGTCTGTGCGTCAGTGTGTCAGTGCCTCTGTCCTTCAGTGCGTCAGTGCCTCTGTGTGTCTGTGCGTCAGTGCGTCTGTGCGTCAGTGCGTCAGTGTGTCAGTACCTTTGTGCGTCAGTGCCTCTGTGTCAGTGCGTCAGTGTGTCTGTGCGTCAGTGTGTCAGTGCCTCTGTCCTTCAGTGCGTCAGTGCCTCTGTGTGTCTGTGCGTCAGTATGTCAGTGCTTCTGCGTTAGCGCGTCTGTGCGTCAGAGCGTGTCAGTGCGTCTGTGCTTCAGAGCGTCAGTGTGTCAGTGCCTTTGTGCGTCAGTGCCTCTGTGTCAGTGCGTCAGTGTGTCAGTGCCTTTGTGCGTCAGTGCCTCTGTGTCAGTGCGTCAGTGTGTCAGGGCCTCTGTGCGTCTGTGCGTCAGTGCGTCTGTACTTCAGTGCGTCTGTGCGTCAGTGCGTCTGTCCGTCAGTGCGTCTGTGCATCTCATTACTGTAAGATGCTGCACACTGGACCTTTAAGGCTCCCGCTGACTTCCTGACTGACACCATTATATTGTTGTCAGACATAATAATCTTATTTCTATGACCTGTCCCAGCGTGAGCCTCAGGGTCTGTCAGAGGAGTCTGATTGTTTGTTAAAGGTGGCGGTCTGAAGCAGTTGCTGTGTGTGTCTCTCAGCAGTACGTGTGGTTCAACATAGGCAGTGTGGACACGTTTGAGAGGAACCTGGAGACGGCGCAGTACGAGCTCGGCATCGAGGGCGAGAACAGACTGCCGGTGGTTTATTCCACTGAGAGTGACGGGTGAGGACGGGTGGCAGCACTTTATATTGGTACGTACCGCAGCTCTGTGGTCTAATGTCCGTCCTTCCTCCGCAGAACCTTCCTACTGAGCATGCTCCCCACCGTGCTCATCATCGGCTTCCTGCTCTTTATGCTGCGGCGGGGTCCTGCGGGGGTGGGGCGTCCCGGCCGTGGGATGGGTGGGCTGTTTAGTGTCAGTGAGACGACGGCGAAGGTCCTGAAAGACGAGATCGACGTCAAGTTCAAAGACGTGGCGGGCTGCGAGGAGGCCAAGCTGGAGATCATGGAGTTTGTCAACTTCCTGAAGAACCCCAAACAGTACCAGGACCTGGGTGCCAAGATCCCAAAGGTGAGGGCGGGTCCAGTCTGCGCTCGCTGTGCGCCGTTGTGTGCCGCTGTACGTACTTCTTGCTGACTGTTTGCTGTGTGTGCAGGGAGCCATCCTGACGGGGCCTCCAGGAACAGGAAAGACTCTTCTGGCCAAAGCGACAGCGGGCGAGGCCAACGTCCCGTTCATCACCGTCAACGGCTCAGAGTTCCTGGAGATGTTCGTGGGCGTCGGCCCTGCCAGGGTGAGCAACGCAGGGCACACTTCCTGTCTCTTCTCACCCTGCTGGGACATTCATATTATATACTTATATACTATTAAAATATAAATAAAATCAAGTAGCCGCAATGGAAGCTAACGACTGTTGTTGTTGTTGTTGTTGTTGATGGTGATGTCATTTCCTGTGCAGGTCAGAGATCTGTTTGTCATGGCGAGGAAGAACGCCCCCTGCATCCTCTTCATCGACGAGATCGACGCCGTGGGACGCAAACGAGGACGAGGAAACTTTGGAGGACAGAGCGAGCAGGAGAACACGCTGAACCAGCTACTGGTGGAGATGGACGGTGGGTGACGGGAATCATGGGAAAAAACATACAAACATTTTAAAATAACTTTATTGATCAGCAGTCAGAGCGTAGTGACAGGAGTACTCACTCGTCTCGGTTCTTTCAGGGTTCAACACAGTGACCAACGTTGTGGTTCTAGCAGGAACAAACAGACCGGACATCCTGGACCCGGCTCTGATGAGACCAGGACGCTTCGACAGACAGATTTACATCGGTGAGAAACGAAGCCACCAGCATCCATTCATTTTTCTTTCGTTTTTATCTCAGGGTAATGATGTTGACTGGTGTCAGTGTGACAGTAGTAATTGTTTATATTGTATACATTATATATATTGTTTTTGTTTGGCCTTTTATGGGTTCTCTGCATCCAATTAAACATTTTATTTTCCCTTAATAGAAATCCTCTTAATAAATAATAAATAAATAAATAGTTGGTTGGTTCTCAATATCTGGTTAAATAACGGGCAAATAAATGAGCCAATAAATAAATAAATAGATTAATAAATATGTTGAGTCCTTACCTCCAGCCTCATTTATTTATTTCTGTGTCTTCTTATTACTTACAAGTCAAAAAAACAAGTAAAATAAAATAAAACATTTCAATGTATGTCACATTTATAAATGAAGTAATGCCATTATTTTTAATATTATTTTGGCGCATTTATTGGCATATTTATTTATTGTATTTGTATTTGTTATTTTGGCGGTCCCCCAAGTTTTTGTGATATTTCTTTTTACTAGAAGGTTGACGGACGATATAGTTTATAGTTTATAGTAAACTCTGATAAAGGATCAATACATATGAGTTTGTTTATCTTGATGCACACATGCAGAAACTTAACATCAATAAATCATAAAAACAACATAAATAAACATGTCGCTGTTGTGTCTCAGGTCCCCCGGATATCAAAGGACGAGCGTCCATCTTTAAAGTTCACCTGCGTCCTCTGAAACTGGAGGTGGAGCTGGACAAAGACACTCTGGCCAGAAAGATGGCCGCCCTCACACCTGGATTCTCAGGTAAACACACCTGTTCTCTCCCTCGAGCAGCCCTGAGCTCGGCCTACTTCACCCTTTGACTTCCTTCTCCCTGTTTCCTGTCTGTCAGGCGCCGACATTGCTAACGTTTGTAATGAGGCGGCTCTGATCGCCGCTCGCCACCTTTCAGATGCCATCAACCAGAAGCACTTCGAACAGGCCATCGAGAGAGTGATCGGAGGTGAGATCAACCTGCTGGTTTTCCTGCTAACGTTGGCCTAACGCCACCGATCAATCAACTCCTGAGGAAGAGATATTATTGGCTGCTGATCAGATTGACTGGAGCTCTTTTAATGATCTCTTCTTCTTTAAGACTGACTTTCACTCTGGTTTATTCTGGTTAAAATCTGAGTGGGGTTCGGTCCAGGTTGAGACTGTTTGTGTTTGTGTTTGAGGTCTGGAGAAGAAGACTCAGGTCCTGCAGCCGGAGGAGAAGAAGACTGTGGCATATCACGAGGCGGGTCACGCCACCGCTGGATGGTTCCTGGAGCACGCCGACCCTCTGCTGAAGGTTTCTGATGTTTAACTCACAGACCAACTGAGAGCTGAACATACTGTCTGAAATAACGAACACACAGCTTTATTTCCTTTACACTGATCAGTTTCTAATACTACAATACCCATGAGCCTCAGCTGCTGTTGTCGTTGTTACCTGTGCAGGTGTCCATCATCCCCAGAGGGAAGGGTCTGGGTTACGCTCAGTACCTGCCTAGAGAGCAGTACCTGTACACCAAAGAGCAGCTGCTGGACCGCATGTGTATGACTCTGGGAGGACGAGTCTCAGAGGAGATCTTCTTCGGACGCATCACCACCGGAGCTCAGGATGACCTCCGAAAGGTCACCCAGAGCGCCTACGCACAGGTCAGAGGTCACTCAGGTCAGAGGTCACTTAGGTCAGAGAAAAAAGAAAATCATCATGTGATTTAAGTTTTCTTCAGTATCAAAGTAATCCAGTGATAGACTGCTAACAGCTAATGTACCCTTCTTTAGACCCGCCCCTGTTATGTGCTCCAATAACAGTTGAGCAAGCCTCGGTCAGAACCTCAGTCAACTTCCTCCTATCCTGTAATTAGATATGCTATATGCTAGGCTAATCTATGTCGGAAAGACAACCACATTTTGAAGATGGTTAAAAGATAAAAGATATATATAGTCACATCTTAAGTTAGTTAGTGTTAGCAGAATGCTAGCCAGCTAGTTATTCTAGTATCCTCTGTTCTGCTGCAGATTGTTCAGTTCGGGATGAATGAGAAGGTGGGTCAGGTCTCCTTTGACCTCCCTCGACAGGGTGAGATGGTTCTGGAGAAACCCTACAGCGAAGCTACGGCTCGTCTCATCGACACTGAGGTTCGAACCCTCATCAGTGAGGCATACCAGAGAACCTACCAACTGCTGAGTGAGAAGAAGGCCGAGGTGGAGAAGGTACCAATGATCTTTGTTTGTTCTAGGTCATCATTAAGAACCTGGATGGATGTGAGAGAGTTTGACGGTGGTCTTCTTCTAGACAGCCAATTCATAACAGAAGTTATCTCAGGACACTTTTCAAATAGAGCAGGTCTAGACCGAACTCCTTATAACATTATTTACAGAGACCCAACAGTACCACCATGAGCAAGACCTTGGTGATTGGTAATGTTACGTAGATGAAAAAAGGTCGTAGAGGTTTGCTTTATGTGGGAGTTAAAGTACATATCCTAATCAAAGATAACCTAACTGTGTCTGTTGGACTTATGAATAGAGAACAACAGGGTTCTAGGTAATTCAAACAAAAACAGAATGTTCTCCAACTGGTGTTTTTTAATCTGCATCTTTAACAAATCTTTTCCTTATGAACTAGAACCAGAACCTCATAGAACCTTGAGTCCTGTTCTTGAGTTTGATGTCAGGGTTCAATAAGTCAGAGCTCATTCTAGTTGAAGAGGAAACATTTACTGTTCTAACATTATAGAAGTGTGTCGGCTGACATAGAACAAGGTTCTAAATGTGTATTTCTAGAATGTTCTACAAACTTCCTCTGAAAAAGATTTCCCACAGAACTTAGATCCAGTTCATGTTTTTAGAACCCGTTCATTGAGAAGAATGGAACCTTGTCTCTTCACATTTTTGTGACGAGAACTCTGCAAACCTTCACTTAGAACCCTGCTCCAAAGCAGCCAGGCCTTTCAGAACACATGGTTCTTCTGATGTGCTGCAGTTCTTTCATATATTATCTTCATAAACTACAACCAGCAGAACCTTCACTCATGCACAGTTCTGACCTTGTTCTTTGTGTTCCTGTGTCATCCTGCAGGTGGCGCTACGGCTGCTGGAGAAGGAGGTTCTGGATAAGAACGACATGGTAGAACTGCTGGGCAAACGTCCATTTGCAGAGAAGTCGACGTACGAAGAGTTTGTGGAGGGAACCGGAGGCGAGGATGAGGACACGACGCTGCCGGAGGGTCTGAAGGACTGGAACCAGGAGAGAAAGGACAAGGATGAGAGCCAGGACGAGCAGGTGGCCCGGCAGATCTCGGGAGGAATGCCCTTCTAGAACCTGAACATCACATATATCTGACATATTCTGTCTGGAGTTCTGGAGTCTCAATCTTTCACGAGGTCGAGAACCTTTACACTAACTTCCAGAATAAACATCAAGAACTCTGCACCTGCTCCTAGAACCTTTAGCCTAAGTTCTAAAACATTCTGTTGGATGTGTGGGTTCTGCCACCAGTTTAAAACCCCACCCAACCCTCCCACATGTCCAGAACCATGGTCATCCAGAGCTCTCCATCTTCAAGGTGTAGAACCCTCTGAGAGAACGCAAATTTTCCTCCAGACCTTCTCCCCATAGTTCTAGAAACATTACATCAGCTTAAGGATCCATTGCACTATATTCTGTAAGCTAGAACCAACACTGACTAATAGAACCCATTGATTGCTGTTTGATGTAATTAATAACCTTCGGTTCCAAGCAGGGTTCTAGGTCATTTACACAAAATGTTCTCTATCTGGAGTTCCTTTACATCCCAAGTTAGAACCAGTTCTGAATGGAAGAACCCTGTCACTGAGTACAGAGAACTGGTCTAACTCCATTTTAGGGTTCTCCATCAAACAGAGTTTATACTTCCTGTGTGAGGTTCTGGATCCGGACTCTGCAGCAGCTGGTTCCGATAACGGAGCGAGAACCACCTACTGACGGATGAACACTGAAAGGATCTTCAGCACTTATTTATCGACAGATATTGATCCACAACCCAATGAAATGGAGGTTCTGGAAGTTTATCATCACTGTTACCACGGTAACCGTGCTGCAGTGAGAGTGAAGTGTTAGCTGAAGGCTAACAGAGAGAAATGCTAATGCAGTCTGTGCTGGTATTTGGTATTGATTAGGTATTGATCAGTAATTGCTAGCCTGTAGCTGACTGTCATTGTATTCGTGGTAATAAGAATGTGTAAATGTGTGTTCTGTTTCATAATTCAAATAAATCAATAATCTATCGATCATTAAAAGAAAAATGTTTTTCTTCAATGAAAAAAAATCAAAAACATATATTCAATAATGTATCAATATTCAATAATGTATCAATATCAATAACTTATCAATATTCAATAACTTATCAATATTCAATAATGTATCTGTTGTGAATTCTTCATGTTCAGAGACATTTCATTTTATGAAACTACAACTCTTATTTTGAAAGTACAGCGGTCGTTTTTCCCTCTTTTCGCGCATTTCTGTTACTCCGTCATTGGTGCAGAAGTCACTGACGATAAACTGATCTGTTATGCACCATCATACTGCATCGTTTGTTATATTCTCATTCTGGCAGTAAAGACTGTAAATGAACTGATGACTGCGTGTTCTCTGACCGGAGCCCTGTAGTGGCTGATTTCCACACACACCATTTTCAGGGTTCAATACCCAACAGTATCAATATTCAATAAGGTATCAATATGCACTAATGTATCAATATTCAATAATGTATCAATATTCAATAACGTATCAATATTCAATATGGTATCAATATTCAATAACGTATCAATATGCACTAATGTATCAATATTCAATAATGTATCAATATTCACTAATGTATCAATATTCAATAATGTATCAATATTCACTAATGTATCAATATTCAATAATGTATCAATATTCAATAACGTATCAATATTCACTAATGTATCAATATTCAATAATGTATCAATATTCAATAACGTATCAATATTCAATAATGTATCAATATTCAATAATGTATCAATATTCAATAACGTATCAATATCCAATAATGTATCAATATTCAATAACGTATCAATTTTCAATAACGTATCAATATTCAATAACGTATCAATATTCAATAATGTATCAATATTCAATAACGTATCAATATTCAATAATGTATCAATATTCAATAACGTATCAATATTCAATAACATGTTTATTAGTGAAGAATTAATAAAGACATTCATCATTGATCTGTAATCAAATTATATTTTCAATCATTGATCATTTAGTTTTTATAAACATGAGAAATTGATCAGAGGACTAATAACTGTATTGATCAGTTTAAAGCAGTTAAATTGACGATCCGGATAAAGTCCTTTATTTATCTCACTGGATATTGATTAATAATATAATCAATAATAGTAAATAGAGGAGGTAAAAGTACACTCTACTAACTTCTCCAACAAATATTGATTATATTGATGTTTTTGTTGATGGATAGATGGATTACTTTATTAATCCCACAACGGGGAAATTCACTGGTCACTGCAGCATTGAAAATCAATAAATCAATAAATCAATACAGATATTAAAGCTTTGGTATGGTGGTAATTGGTAACAGAAACATTGATCAGGTGTTGTAGAGTCTGACAGCAGCAGGAATTAAAGACCTGCGGAACCTCTCCTTCTTACCCCGTGGGTGTAACAGTCTGCTGCTGAAGGAGCTACTCAGGGACCCCACAGTGTCATGTGGGGGGGGGGGGGTCCATGATGGATGTCAGCTCCACTAACATCCTCCTCTCACCCACTTCCTCAATGGAGTCCAGAGGACAGTCCAGGACAGAGCTCGCTCTCCTGATCAGTTTATTGAGTCTCTTCCTGTCCCTGTCCGTACTGCCCCCCCCAGCAGACCACAGCATAGAAGATGGCTGAAGCAACCACAGAGTCATAAAAAGTCTTAAGGAGAGCCCTGCTAACTCCGAAGGAGGTGGAGGCGAAGCTGGCCCTTCTTGTAGAGAGCATGGGTGTTGTCAGTCCAGTCCAGTCCAGTTTTTATTGAGGTGACCACCCGGGAATTTATAATTCTCTACCACCTCAATGTCCAGTCCCTGGATGTTCACCGGGGTGCAGTGGGATGTTTTCCTCCTGAAGTTAACGATCATCTCCTTCGTCTTGCTAGTGTTTAGCTGAAGCTGGCTGAGCTCACACCAGCTGACAAAGTTCCTGATAACAGTCCTGTATTCCAGTTCGTTGGAGCGGTCCTGGAGCGGTCCTGGAGCGGTCTTGGAGCGGTCCTGGAGCGGTCCTGGAGCGGTCTTGGAGCGGTCTTGGAGCGGTCCTGGAGGGGTCTTGGAGCGGTCCTGGAGCAGTCTTGGAGCGGTCTTGGAACGGTCTTGGAGTGGTCTTGGAGCAGTCTTGGAGTGGTCTTGGAGCGGTCTTGGAACGGTCTTGGAGCGGTCCTGGAGCGGTCTTGGAACGGTCTTGGAACGGTCTTGGAGCGGTCCTGGAGCGGTCTTGGAGCGGTCTTGGAGCGGTCCTGGAGCGGTCTTGGAGCAGTCTTGTAGCAGTCTTGGAGGCGGTCTTGGAGCGGTCTTGGAGCGGTCCTGGAGCGGTCTTGGAGCGGTCCTGGAGCGGTCTTGGAGCGGTCCTGGAGCGGTCTTGGAGCGGTCCTGGAGCGGTCCTGGAGCGGTCTTGGAGCGGTCCTGGAGCGGTCTTGGAGCGGTCCTGGAGCGGTCTTGGAGCGGTCTTGGAGCGGTCCTGGAGCGGTCTTGGAGCGGTCTTGGAGCGGTCCTGGAGCGGTCCTGGAGCGGTCTTGGAGCGGTCTTGGAGCGGTCTTGGAGCGGTCTTGGAGCGGTCCTGGAGCGGTCCTGGAGCGGTCTTGGAGCGGTCCTGGAGGGGTCTTGGAGCGGTCCTGGAGCGGTCTTGGAGCGGTCTTGGAGCGGTCCTGGAGCGGTCTTGGAGCGGTCCTGGAGCGGTCTTGGAGCGGTCTTGGAGCGGTCCTGGAGCGGTCTTGGAGCGGTCTTGGAGCGGTCTTGGAGCGGTCCTGGAGCGGTCCTGGAGCGGTCCTGGAGCGGTCTTGGAGCAGTCTTATTACACTCGGGGTGTGCTTTACCGTGGTTATTGTCACTTCAGTGATGCTGACGGAACTCGGCGCCTATGCTTAATTAAATGCACCCCACTGATGTCAGACCTGCTGTTGTTGATGTTTCAGTTAGTTGTTTAAACAGATAATGGTTCCTGTGAACTTCATAACCTACTGTAACTGTAACGTGATGCTTGCCTGGCGGGCCCTCACCCTATCTCGTGCTGTAACGACATCATAACAAATCGACCCGACAACTGCATGTTATTTAACGAGCTTTTCTTGCTACAGTGAAACCTGGAGCATTGTTTGGGCGCTCAGGAGCAGAAGGTGTTGTTTCTGGCGTGTTGGAAGAAAGAACTTGATGCTGTTCCTCAGCAGCAGCGGCCTCCCTCCGCAGCCCTGCCACGGTTTTAGCCATGTTGCTGATCTGTGTGACGCGTCCATATATCAGATGTGCACACCGCCCTCTACCGTATAAGATGGGTAGCACGGTCAGCACGGCGCTGAAGAAGAGCAGCTCCTGACGTCACTCTCCTGCGCCGCTCAGATTGTCAAATCGGTTTCGAATTATGGGCACTAGTTTGCGGGGCAGACCACGAAAACGAAACAGCAATCTCCTCTTTGTTCTCTTTTTGATGATGGAATAAAATGTGCTGTTAAGAAGAAAATTAAAATGCAAAGAGGATGAGTGATTATTCATTTGATTTATGAGTCAGATAATTCAGCCACATTCTTAAAATGAAAAAGCATTCCTGCAAATGCATTTTCATTTCAATTTTGGTCACGATTGGCTTCCATAGATATCACACACACACACACACACACACACAGCTGTATATAACATTATGATTAATAATCACCAGGCTGCCCTATAGATGGCGGAATAATCAATAATAATAATACCAATAATATTAATAAGGAAAATATAGATTGTTTTTACGCAGGTCTTTTATTTTGAAACTGTCTGTCAGAGGATGTGACGCAGGCGGAAGTGGTGCTGTGTGGAGCGGCGCAGACACAAACATCGGACAGTGTTTGATCCTCATATAGATAGAGATCGATATAAAATATCGGATCGATCGGGATCAGAGGGGCGGGGCTGCTGATGGCGGTGACAGTTTCCGCGGTGAGAAAATCAAACCAACCTTTATTTATACGATAGCCACATGCTAAGCTAATGCTAACTGCTGGAAACCACTCACAGACTCTAATCGATCAGAGTGATCGGATACAAACAGCTGCTAGCAGCTAGGCTAATATCGCACACGGTTCTGTTAGCAGAAGCTAAGCTAGCTGAGGGGCTGCAGCTGGAACACCTGGACACAAACAGGAAGTGCTGATCAGAACCGGATCGATCAGCGGCTGCTGATCAGAACCGGATCGATCAGCGGCTGCTGATCAGAAAATGACGGATCAGTAAAGTTAAATATGGAAATATGACTGTAATCAATAACTGCTGTTGTCAGTGCAATCTCAAAATGTTATTATTGATTAGCCGGTAGAATTCAGACAATATTGATTTATTATTGATCAGCTGGTAGACATTGATCTGAACTTTAATATTATCAATTAACTTGATTATTACCTATTGATACACTTTTCAAACCAAGTTTGTCTCTTCTTCCACCTGCGCTGATTATACAATAAAATATCAATAATATAATATCAATAACAGAATATCAATAATATAATATCAATAATATAATATCAATAACAGAATATCAATAATATAATATCAATAATATAATATCAATAATATAATATCAATAATAGAATATCAATAACAGAATATCAATAATATAATATCAATAATATAATATCAATAATATAATATCAATAACAGAATATCAATAATATAATATCAATAATATAATATCAATAACATAATATCAATAACAGAATATCAATAATAGAATATCAATAATATAATATCAATAACAGAATATCAATAATATAATATCAATAACAGAATATCAATAACAGAATATCAATAATATAATATCAATAACATAATATCAATAATATAATATCAATAACAGAATATCAATAACAGAATATCAATAATAGAATATCAATAACATAATATCAATAATATAATATCAATAATAGAATATCAATAACATAATATCAATAACATAATATCAATAATAGAATATCAATAATATAATATCAATAACATAATATCAATAATATAATATCAATAATATAATATCAATAATAGAATATCAATAACATAATATCAATAACATAATATCAATAATATAATATCAATAACAGAATATCAATAATATAATATCAATAATATAATATCAATAATATAATATCAATAATATAATATCAATAATAGAATATCAATAATATAATATCAATAATAGAATATCAATAATAGAATATCAATAATATTATATCAATAATAGAATATCAATAATATAATATCAATAATATAATATCAATAATATAATATCAATAACATAATATCAATAACATAATATCAATAATAGAATATCAATAACAGAATATCAATAATATAATATCAATAATAGAATATCAATAACAGAATATCAATAATAGAATATCAATAATAGAATATCAATAATATAATATCAATAATAGAATATCAATAACAGAATATCAATAATATAATATCAATAATATAATATCAATAACATAATATCAATAATATAATATCAATAATAGAATATCAATAACAGAATATCAATATACAATATCAATAATAGAATATCAATAATATAATATCAATAATAGAATATCAATAACATAATATCAATAATATAATATCAATAATAGAATATCAATAATATAATATCAATAATAGAATATCAATAATATAATATCAATAATAGAATATCAATAATATATGGCCTGTGGTGTTACAGGGAGGCCCGGCTCTCATCATGGAGAACGGACAGAGCACCACCAAGCTGGGTCTGCCGGCGCTGACGGTCCACCAGCAGGAGGCGCTGCAGAGGGTACCTGTGTGTGTGTACCTGTGTGTGTGTACCTGTGTGTACCTGTGTGTGTACCTATGTGTGTACCTGTGTACCTGTGTGTGTGTGTGTGTGTGTGTGTGTGTGTGTGTGTGTGTGTACCTGTTTGTGTGTGTGTGTGTACCTGTGTGTGTACCTGTGTGTGTGTGTGTGTGTACCTGTGTGTGTACCTTGTGTGTGTGTGTGTGTGTGTGTGTGTGTACCTGTGTGTGTGTGTGTGTGTACCTGTGTGTACCTGTGTGTGTACCTGTGTGTGTGTGTGTGTGTACCTGTGTGTGTACCTGTGTGTGTGTGTGTGTGTGTGTGTGTGTGTGTGTGTGTACCTGTGTGTGTGTGTGTGTGTGTGTGTGTGTACCTGTGTGTGTGTGTGTACCTGTGTGTGTACCTGTGTGTGTGTGTGTGTGTGTGTGTGTGTGTGTGTACCTGTGTGTGTGTGTGTGTGTGTGTGTGTGTACCTGTGTGTGTGTGTGTACCTGTGTGTGTGTGTGTACCTGTGTGTGTGTGTGTGTGTGTACCTGTGTGTGTGTGTGTACCTGTGTGTGTGTGTGTGTGTTTGTGTGTGTGTGTGTGTACCTGTGTGTGTGTGTGTGTGTGTGTGTGTGTGTGTTAGGGGTGTGTGATATCTCGTTATCTTTTGGGTGATAATGATAATCAGTCGATATCTTTAAATGTGATGTGAATTGTCTGAGTTCGGTCTTTTTATCGCTGACAGCTCCAGAACTCATTGTCCGAGCGCCCAGCGGGGTCAAAGGTTGAACAGATTCATCGTCCGAGCGCCCAGCGGGGTCAAAGGTTGAACAGATTCATTGTCCGAGCGCCCAGCGGGGTCAAAGGTTGAACAGATTCATCGTCCGAGCGCCCAGCGGGGTCAAAGGTTGAACAGATTCATTGTCCGAGCGCCCAGCGGGGTCAAAGGTTGAACAGATTCATTGTCCGAGCGCCCAGCGGGGTCAAAGGTTGAACAGATTCATTGTCCGAGCGCCCAGCGGGGTCAAAGGTTGAACAGATTCATCGTCCGAGCGCCCAGCGGGGTCAAAGGTTGAACAGATTCATTGTCCGAGCGCCCAGCGGGGTCAAAGGTTGAACAGATTCATTGTCCGAGCGCCCAGCGGGGTCAAAGGTTGAACAGATTCAGGGACTGGAGGTGTTTGCATTTTCTCTCTACCATCACAACGCGCTGCTAAACTGTTGCAAGGAGGATGCTAGCGAGAGGTCACGTGATCACCTCATGTGATCACGTAGGCCCACTAGTCATGTGACTGAATCCTGCCATGCTGTAGAGAGCGCTGCTGCTCCGTGTATTAATGGATGTGAGGAGTTTCCGCGGGCGTTTCATTGTTTTTAGCGAAGTAATTTAAATACTCGATAATGGAAATTTGCACATCGTCAAAACAACGGCGATATTATCGCAAACCATATATCGCCCACCTCTAGTGTGTGTGTGTGTGTGTGTGTGTGTGTGTGTGTGTGTGTGTGTGTGTGTGTGTCTGTGTGTGTGTGTGCCTGTGTGTGTATAATGTGACCCGTTTCCTGTCTGCAGGCAAAGAAGTACGCCATGGAGCAGAGCATCAAGAGCGTTCTCGTCAAACAGTCTCTAGCTCAGCAGCAGCAGCTCACGAGCCTGCAGGTAACACACCTGTCTGCAGGTAACACACCTGTCTGCAGGTAACACACCTGTCTGCAGGTAACACACCTGTCTGCAGGTAACACACCTGTCTGCGAGTTTGCTCTGATTAGAGGTCATTAACACAGTTTTTTCTGTCTGTCTGTCAGATGGCGTCCCTGTCGATGGGTCTGGGTGACGCTTTGTCTCCTCTGCAGTCAGTAAGTAAACTCGTCCAGGTCGCATGCGTTCAGGTGACGGCTGTGTGTGACTTCCTGTGTGATGCGTTCAGGTGGCGGCTGTGTGTGACTTCCTGTGTGATGCGTTCAGGTGACGGCTGTGTGTGACTTCCTGTGTGATGCGTTCAGGTGGCGGCTGTGTGTGACTTCCTGTGTGATGCGTTCAGGTGACGGCTGTGTGTGACTTCCTGTGTGATGCGTTCAGGTGACGGCTGTGTGTGACTTCCTGTGTGATGCGTTCAGGTGGCGGCTGTGTGTGACTTCCTGTGTGATGCGTTCAGGTGGCGGCTGTGTGTGACTTCCTGTGTGATGCGTTCAGGTGACGGCTGTGTGTGACTTCCTGTGTGATGCGTTCAGGTGGCGGCTGTGTGTGACTTCCTGTGTGATGCGTTCAGGTGACGGCTGTGTGTGACTTCCTGTGTGATGCGTTCAGGTGGCGGCTGTGTGTGACTTCCTGTGTGATGCGTTCAGGTGACGGCTGTGTGTGACTTCCTGTGTGATGCGTTCAGGTGGCGGCTGTGTGTGACTTCCTGTGTGATGCGTTCAGGTGACGGCTGTGTGTGACTTCCTGTGTGATGCGTTCAGGTGACGGCTGTGTGTGACTTCCTGTGTGATGCGTTCAGGTGGCGGCTGTGTGTGACTTCCTGTGTGATGCGTTCAGGTGGCGGCTGTGTGTGACTTCCTGTGTGATGCGTTCAGGTGACGGCTGTGTGTGACTTCCTGTGTGATGCGTTCAGGTGACGGCTGTGTGTGACTTCCTGTGTGATGCGTTCAGGTGACGGCTGTGTGTGACTTCCTGTGTGGGTGGTGACGGCTGTGTGTGACTTCCTGTGTGATGCGTTCAGGTGACGGCTGTGTGTGACTTCCTGTGTGATGCGTTCAGGTGACGGCTGTGTGTGACTTCCTGTGTGATGCGTTCAGGTGACGGCTGTGTGTGACTTCCTGTGTGATGCGTTCAGGTGGCGGCTGTGTGTGACTTCCTGTGTGATGCGTTCAGGTGGCGGCTGTGTGTGACTTCCTGTGTGATGGTAGGTGCGGCTGTTGACTTCCTTGTTCTTCAGGTGGCGGCGCAGCGTCAGAGAGCTCTGGCCATCATGTGTCGAGTTTACGTCGGCTCCATCTACTACGAGCTGGGAGAGGACACCATCAGACAGGCCTTCGCTCCATTCGGACCAATCAAAAGCATCGACATGTCCTGGGACTCTGTCACCATGAAGCACAAGGTCAGACAGAGCCGTCCATTACCCGATCGGGTTACCAATAATCAATAATAATCAATAATCTGTCTCACTGGTTTGTAGATCAACCCTATTGATTTCAAGAATTTCAGCCGTTTCATCCATTGTTGACTGTTAGCTAATGCTACACGTCGACTACACTGTCTCTCTTCCTGTTTCCCAGCAGGCTTTGTGTCAGCGCCGGGACCTGCTGACCGGTCTACCGTTCCAATCAAACTTTATTTAAGCAGTCACAGTAGCAGAGCTCTCAGTACAGGAGAGTCCTGATCAGGCGCAGAGGGAGTTAACAGGTCTTCAGTTGTGTCTCTGCAGGGTTTCGCCTTCGTAGAGTACGAGATGCCCGAAGCGGCTCAGCTGGCCCTGGAACAGATGAACTCTGTCGTCCTCGGAGGGCGAAACATCAAAGTGAGTCCAGTTCAAACCATCACTGACCAGTACAGACACCCCCAAACCAGTTTAAACCAGTACAGACCATCCTCAGGCTTGGGTATTTTTCCCTGCTGCTCGTCTTGCAGGTTGGGAGGCCCAGTAACATCGGCCAGGCTCAGCCAATCATCGACCAGCTGGCGGAGGAAGCTCGTGCCTTTAACAGGATCTACGTGGCGTCTGTCCACCCTGACCTCTCCGATGACGACATTAAGAGTGTCTTTGAGGCCTTCGGAAAGATCAAGTCCTGCATGTTGGCCCGAGAGCCAACAACCGGAAGGCACAAAGGCTACGGCTTCATCGGTAAGCACCACTAGCTAACGTTTATAGCCTCAACGCTAACGTTGGCGAATGATCCAGAATGTGAGAGAACATGACAAACAAGATATTTTGTTTGATTCTAAACATGAGAGTGAGAACAAGATCAGATGACATATAAGGCAGATACAAGATAGGGCAAGGTCCAAGGGGGGAGGATTATGGCCCCCGGCCTTCAGTTTTGGCCCCGGACGCAGTCTAACGTGTTGTGGTGGGTTTGTGTCCAGAGTACGAGAAGGCTCAGTCCTCTCAGGACGCTGTGGCCTCCATGAACCTGTTTGACCTGGGGGGTCAGTACCTGCGAGTGGGGAAGGCCGTGACTCCGCCCGTTCCACTCCTCACGCCAACGACTCCTGGAGGTCTCCCAGCTGCTGCTGCAGTGGCAGCGGCTGCAGCCACCGCCAAAATCACTGCTCAGGTGAGTCAAGAAGCTCCACCCCATTTTCTACTGTATCTCATACACATTGATCAGCCCTAACACAGTGAGCACTGCCAGTTACACTGATTATCTGGGTATCAGGGCTCCTATCAGTGGGGGGGGTATATCAGGCAGACAGTGGACAGAGTTGATGTGTTAGAAGCAGGAAAAATGGGCAGCGTGAGGATCTGATCCACTTTGACAAGAACCACATTGTGATGGACGACTGGGTCAGAACATCTCCAAACCTGCAGCTCTTGTGGGGTGTTCCCGGTCTGCAGAGGTCAGTACCTATCAAAAGTGGTCCAAGGAAGGAACAGATCCAGAGACAGGGTCATGGGGGGGCGATGCTCATTGATGCAGGTGGGGAGTGAAGGCTGGCCCGTGTGGTCCGATCCAACAGACGAGCTACTGTAGCTCAAACTGCTGAAACAGTTAATGCTGGTTCTGATAGAAAGGGGTCAGAACACACAGTGCAGAGCAGTCTGTTGGTCTGGGTCCAGTCAGGGAGTCCAGTGCTCACAGTGTTACTGCTGATCAATATATCAGTCTATAAACTGTTAGTGATCAATATATCAGTCTATAAACTGTTACTGCGGATCAATATATCAGTCTATATACTGTTAGTGATCAATATATCAGTCTATATACCGTTAGTGATCAATATATCAGTCTATATATTGTAAGTGATCAATATATCAGTCTGTGTACTGTTAGTGATCAATATATCAGTCTATATACCGTTAGTGATCAATATATCAGTCTATATATTGTAAGTGATCAATATATCAGTCTGTGTACTGTTAGTGATCAATATATCAGTATATATACTGTTAGTGCTGACCCATATATCAGTCTATATACTGTTAGTGATCAATATATCAGTTTATATACTGTTAATGCTGATCAGTATATTAGTGGATATTGTTAGAACTGATCAATATAACAGTGGATAATGTTAGAACTGATCATTATATCAGTGGATACTGTTAGAACTGATCAAGATAGTGGATACTGTTAGAACTGATCAATATATCAGTTTATATACTGTTAGTGCTGATCAGTATATTAGTGGATATTGTTAGAACTGATCAATATAACAGTGGATAATGTTAGAACTGATCATTATATCAGTGGATACCGTTAGAACTGATCAATATATCAGTAGATAATGTTAGAACTGATCAATATATTAGTGGATAATGTTAGAACTGATCAATATAACAGTGGATACTGTTAGAACTGATCATTATATCAGTTGATACTGTTAGAACTGATCAAGATAGTGGATACTGTTAGAACTCATCAATAAATCAGTGGATAATGTTAGAACCGATCAATATATTAGTGGATAATGTTAGAACTGATCAATATATCAGTCTATATACTGTTAGTGCTGATCAATATATCAGTCTACATAGTGTTAGTGCTGATCAATATATTAGTGGATAATGTTAGAACTGATCAATATATCAGTGGATACTGTTAGAACTGATCAATATATCAGTCTATACTGTTAGTGCTGAACAATATATTAGTGGACAATGTTAGAACTGATCAATATATTAGTGGATACTGTTGGTGCTGATCAATATATCAGTCTATATACTGTTATTGTCAATATATGATTGGATACTGTTAGAACTAATCAATATATCAGTTTATATACTGTTCGTGTTGATAAAAATTTGGGGGGATATTTTGAACTGATCAATATATTAGTGGATACTGTTAGAACTGATCAATGTATCAGTGGATAATGTTAGAACTGATCAATATATCAGTGGATAATGTTAGAGCTGATCAATATATCAGTGGATAATGTTAGAACTGATCAATATATCAGTGGATAATGTTAGAACTGATCAATATATCAGTGGATAATGTTAGAACTGATCAATATATCATTGGATAATGTTAGAACTGATCAATATATCAGTAGATAATGTTAGAACTGATCAATATATCAGTGGATAATGTTAGAACTGATCAATATATCAGTGGATAATGTTAGAACTGATCAATATATCAGTGGATAATGTTAGAACTGATCAATATATCAGTGGATAATGTTAGAACTGATCAATATATCAGTGGATAATGTTAGAACTGTATATATTTTGTTCTGTGATGCGTTCAGGAGGCAGTGGGAACATCGGTTCTTGGAGCTCTGGCTGGACCGGCGCTCCTCTCCCAGCAGCTAGGCGGACTTCCTCCGGCTGTCATGGCTGCTCAGGCTCCAGGTGTCATCACAGGTAGGAACACCTACAGCCCCACCCATGCACATTAAACCCCGCCCCCACAATAGCCAGACATCCAGTCACATTAATGATCTCCTGCTTGAAGTTCACACACCAGTAGACCGTTACCTGTAGCCTGTTACCTGTAGACTGTTACCTGCCCTCAGTGCACACCTGTAGACCGTTACCTGTAGACTGTTACTTGTAGACTGTTACCTGCCCTCAGTGCACACCTGTAGACCGTTACCTGTAGACTGTTACTTGTAGACTTTTACTTGCCCTCAGTGCACACCTGTAGACCGTTACCTGTAGACTGTTACTTGTAGACTATTACCTGCCCTCAGTGCACACCTGTAGACCGTTACCTGTAGACTGTTACTTGTAGACTGTTACCTGCCCTCAGTGCACACCTGTAGACCGTTACCTGTAGACTGTTACTTGTAGACTGTTACCTGCCCTCAGTGCACACCTGTAGACTGTTACCTGCCCTCAGTGCACACCTGTAGACTGTTACCTGCCCTCAGTGCACACCTGTAGACTGTTACCTGTAGACTGTTACTTGTAGACTGTTACCTGCCCTCAGTGCACACCTGTAGACTGTTACCTGTAGACTGTTACTTGTAGACTGTTACCTGCCCTCAGTGCACACCTGTAGACCGTTACCTGTAGACTGTTACTTGTAGACTGTTACCTGCCCTCAGTGCACACCTGTAGACTGTTACCTGTAGACTGTTACCTGTAGACTGTTACCTGTAGACTGTTACTTGTAGACTATTACCTGCCCTCAGTGCACACCTGTAGACTGTTACCTGTAGACTGTTCTGAGACTGTTACCTGCTCAGTGCACCTGTAGACTGTTACCTGTAGACTGTTACTTGTAGACTGTTACCTGCCCTCAGTCACACCTGTATAACTGTTACTTGTAGACTATTACCTGCCCTCAGTGCACACCTGTAGACTGTTACCTGCAGACTGTTACTTGTAGACTGTTACCTGTGATATTTCTGTGAATGTTTGATGTTTCGTGACGTTTTATTTTTGCTGAATATTTGTGATGTAATGTTTCAGGACTTTGGGGCGTGTGTAGAGGTCAGAGGTCAGAGGTCGCCTCCCTCCGTCAGTTGTTGTTTGTGTTGCTTCGTCAGAACAATCTCTGATCACAGATATGATCTTTTATTGACTTTTTTTTCTCTCTCTCTTTTTTCTCTCCCCCCCTCTCGACCCCCAACATTTGCACCGACAGTGACCTCTTAGCCCCTCCCCTTTGCTGCACACTGACCAACCAAGTGAAGAGGACTGTTTCTAGCCCCTCCCTTTAAACATAGCCCCTCATTCCTATTGGCCAGTGAGTCTCAGATGCTGTGTTATTTGTCATCATGTTGTACACACCTGCACAGCGGGGGGGGCGGTGGGGTGAGGGGGGGTTTGTTCATCCTCCTCTGATCTTTAAGTAAAGTCCAAAAGTTGTGACAGCTTCCTGTTTGCTGCGGTTCTTTCTGCACCAATCGTAAGTATCGGTTGAAATCCCTCGAGGAAGAACAGAGGGCGGAGTCACTGTGCAGTCTGTGGGTGCACTCGTTTACCGCTAAGTGTTGGGTGGTGACATACCGCAGGTGGGTGGAGTTAGTACCTGCAGATTGAAAACAGAAGCAAACATTATATTTTAACTCCACCCATCTCCTGTGCAGGGCGGTACAGGCGTGTTAAACCAGTGCACCCAGTGTAGAGGCCGGGGGTCGGTCCCAGTCCGATGGAGAAGCCGCCATCCAAGATGAGGTTCTTCTTCTCCAGCAGCCTGGGGCGGCTCCCTGCGGCCGGACGGACGCCGCCCGTCTCACCGGCCTGTCCTTCCTGCTTACTCTCTGTTTCAGGTGTGACCCCTGCTCGACCCGGCCTGCCTCAGGTGGGTTTGGTGAATCCGGTGCTGGCAACACCCCCAGCGCCAACGGCCTCTTTTGGCTCTGAGGCGAAGAGGAAAGAAGAGGAGGAGGAGTGTCAGCAGGAGGCGCAGCAGGACGGAGCCATGGAGCCGCTCAGTGAGCAGGAGCACATGAGCATCAGCGGCAGCAGCGCCAGGCACATGGTGATGAGGAAACTGCTTCGCAAGCAGGAGGTAGTGGTCGTTCATTAAACTGTAGCTAACAGCGCCACCAGTGGTCGTTCAGTGAACTGTAACTAACAGCGCCACCAGTGGCCGTTCATTAAACTGTAGCTAACAGCGCCACCAGTGGTCGTTCAGTGAACTGTAACTAACAGCGCCACCAGTGGCCGTTCATTAAACTGTAGCTAACAGCGCCTCCAGTGGTCGTTCATTAAACTGTAGCTAACAGCGCCACCAGTGGTCGTTCATTAAACTGTAACTAACAGCGCCACCAGTGGTCGTTCATTAAACTGTAGCTAACAGCGCCACCAGTGGTCGTTCATTAAACTGTAGCTAACAGTGCCACCAGTGGTCGTTCATTAAACTGTAACTAACAGCGCCTCCAGTGGTCTTTCATTAAACTGTAGCTAACAGCGCCACCAGTGGTCGTTCAGTGAACTGTAGCTAACAGCGCCACCAGTGGTCGTTCAGTGAACTGTAGCTAACAGCGCCACCAGTGGCCGTTCAGTGAACTGTAGCTAACAGCGCCACCAGTGGTCGTTCAGTGAACTGTAGCTAACAGCGCCACCAGTGGTCGTTCAGTGAACTGAAGCTAACAGCGCCACCAGTGGTCGTTCATTAAACTGTAGCTAACAGCGCCACCAGTGGTCGTTCAGTGAACTGTAGCTAACAGCGCCACCAGTGGTCGTTCAGTGAACTGAAGCTAACAGCGCCACCAGTGGTCGTTCAGTGAACTGTAGCTAACAGCGCCACCAGTGGTCGTTCATTAAACTGTAGCTAACAGCGCCACCAGTGGCCGTTCATTAAACTGTAACTAACAGCGCCTCCAGTGGTCGTTCATTAAACTGTAGCTAACAGCGCCTCCAGTGGTCGTTCATTAAACTGTAGCTAACAGCGCCTCCAGTGGTCGTTCAGTGAACTGTAGCTAACAGCGCCACCAGTGGTCGTTCAGTGAACTGTAGCTAACAGCGCCACCAGTGGCCGTTCATTAAACTGTAGCTAACAGCGCCTCCAGTGGTCGTTCATTAAACTGTAGCTAACAGCGCCACCAGTGGCCGTTCATTAAACTGTAACTGACAGCGCCACCAGTGGTCATTCAGTGAACTGTAGCTAACAGCGCCACCAGTGGTCGTTCATTAAACTGTAGCTAACAGCGCCACCAGTGGTCGTTCATTAAACTGTAACTAACAGCGCCACCAGTGGCCGTTCATTAAACTGTAACTAACAGCGCCACCAGTGGTCGTTCATTAAACTGTAACTAACAGCGCCACCAGTGGCCGTTCATTAAACTGTAACTAACAGCGCCACCAGTGGTCGTTCAGTAAACTGTAGCTAACAGCGCCACCAGTGGTCGTTCATTAAACTGTAGCTAACAGCGCCACCAGTGGTCGTTCATTAAACTGTAACTAACAGCGCCACCAGTGGTCGTTCATTAAACTGTAGCTCACAGCGCCACTAGTGGTCGTTCATTAAACTGTAGCTAACAGCGCCACCAGTGGTCGTTCAGTAAACTGTAGCTAACAGCGCCACCAGTGGTCGTTCATTAAACTGTAGCTAACAGCGCCACCAGTGGTCGTTCAGTAAACTGTAGCTAACAGCGCCACCAGTGGTCGTTCATTAAACTGTAACTAACAGCGCCACCAGTGGTCGTTCATTAAACTGTAACTAACAGCGCCACCAGTGGTCGTTCATTAAACTGTAACTAACAGCGCCACCAGTGGTCGTTCATTAAACTGTAACTAACAGCGCCACCAGTGGCCGTTCATTAAACTGTAACTAACAGCGCCACCAGTGGTCGTTCATTAAACTGTAGCTAACAGCGCCACCAGTGGTCGTTCATTAAACTGTAGCTAACAGCGCCACCAGTGGTCGTTCATTAAACTGTAGCTAACAGCGCCACCAGTGGTCGTTCATTAAACTGAAGCTAACAGCGCCACCAGTGGTCGTTCATTAAACTGTAGCTAACAGCGCCACCAGTGGTCGTTCATTAAACTGTAGCTAACAGCGCCTCCAGTGGTCGTTCATTAAACTGTAGCTAACAGCGCCACCAGTGGTCGTTCAGTGAACTGTAGCTAACAGCGCCTCCAGTGGTCGTTCATTAAACTTTAACTAACAGCGCCACCAGTGGCCGTTCATTAAACTGTAACTAACAGCGCCACCAGTGGTCGTTCAGTGAACTGTAGCTAACAGCGCCACCAGTGGCCGTTCAGTGAACTGTAGCTAACAGCGCCACCAGTGGTCGTTCAGTGAACTGTAGCTAACAGCGCCACCAGTGGTCGTTCAGTGAACTGAAGCTAGCAGCGCCACCAGTGGTCGTTCATTAAACTGTAGCTAACAACGCCACCAGTGGTCGTTCAGTGAACTGTAGCTAACAGCGCCACCAGTGGTCGTTCAGTGAACTGAAGCTAACAGCGCCACCAGTGGTCGTTCAGTGAACTGTAGCTAACAGCGCCACCAGTGGTCGTTCAGTGAACTGTAGCTAACAGCGCCACCAGTGGTCGTTCAGTGAACTGTAGCTAACAGCGCCACCAGTGGTCGTTCAGTGAACTGTAACTAACAGCGCCACCAGTGGTCGTTCAGTGAACTGCATCCTGGGCGTCGGCCAACAGAGACAAACACTGAACGCTGTAAAATAACTGACGATCATATTTAGAATAACGTTACTATCTGCAATGTTCCTATATTTTATTTGGACCGTTAGCTCCATGCTAATAACTAGCTCGCTGTTTACCAATCAGCCATCAGCCAACACCACGAAGCAACCAACACCAGACCCACAATGCAACACCAAGATACAGCTGGAGAACCCCAGTTAGCTTAGCCACAGTTAGCTAGCTGGATGCCCCTCCCTCACATCACTCTCAGCTAGTAGAAAGCTATCGTTAGCTTTGTGCCACTTTGTGCCTCAGAAACATAAGTTAGTATCGTGGATCAACGTTAGCCAACTAACAGATTCACTCAGATAGGATTTTGCTAGTGATAGCGTTAGCAAGCAAGCTAATGTTAGCCAGCCAGATTGAATAACATTATGACATCCCGGGAGTCTGGATGAAGCTAGCTGACAATATTTTGCTACATTAGCTAGCTATCAATTCGACCATGTAAGCAACCAAGCTAACGTTCTCCAGCTAAAAGCACAATCAGTCGCCCACTGTTGGCACTGTAGGGAGCATAAAGGTCACAACCTTTGACCCTCATCCTACATAGAGACACATAGAGACACATAGAGATCAGTCCACAGACAGCAGAGGGACAAAGCTACACTACAACCTGTTCACACACACACTGACACACACACTGACACACACACTGACACACACACTGACACACACACACACACACACTGACTCACACACTAACACACACACACTGACTCACACACTAACACACACACTGACACACACACTGACACACACACTGACTCACACACTGACACACACACACACACACACACTGACTCACACACTAACACACACACACTGACTCACACACTAACACACACACTGACACACACACTGACACACACACTGACTCACACACTGACACACACACTGACACACACACTGACTCACACACTAACACACACACTGACACACACACACACTGACTCACACACTAACACACACACTGACACACACACTGACACACACACACACACACACACTGACTCACACACTAACACACACACTGACACACACACTGACACACACACACACACTCACACACTGACACACACACACACACACTGACTCACACACTAACACACACACTAACACACTCACACACACTGACTCACACACACACACACTGACTCACACACTGACTCACACACACTGACTCACACACACACACACTGACTCACACACTGACTCACACACACTGACTCACACACACACACACTGACTCACACACTGACTCACACACTGACTCACACACACTGACACACACACACACACACTGACTCACACACTGACTCACACACTGACTCACACAAACTGACTCACACACACACACACACTGAATTAATGGACCCGCTCTCTCTGACTCCCGGCAGTCGACCGTGATGGTCCTGAGGAACATGGTCGGCCCCGACGACATCGATGACGACCTGGAGGGTGAGGTCACAGAGGAGTGCGGGAAGTTTGGCCGGGTGAAGCGCGTCATCATCTACCAGGAGCGGCAGGGCGAGGAGGACGACGCCGACGTCATCGTCAAGATCTTTGTGGAGTTTTCAGAGGTGGCCGAGATGAACCGAGCCATCCAGGCGCTCAACCGCCGCTGGTTCGGAGGACGCAAGGTGGTGGCGGAGGTTTACGACCAGGAACGCTTCGACAGCAGCGACCTGTCGGCGTAGAACACACACACATAAACACACTCAGAGCGTAGTGTAGACAACCTTTCTTCTTCAGTTTGTCTTTGTACAGATTTAAAGGAACACTCCGCTGTTTCATGTTTGACTACAAATATTTTCCACTCCTGCTGATTGATTTCCAATCAATACATTTTTATGTTTTTATATGAAATCAGCTCCGTGTCGTCCAGGCACACAGCCGCTTCACATTTACATCATATTAACAGAAACCAGCTTAAGCAACCGCTAACGTTAGCAGCTAATGTAAAAAGGAATGAAGTCTCACTTTCATTCTTCAGAAAGTAAAAACGTGATAAAGAAATATTGATCTGATCATCAATAGGAGTGAAACAGATTTGAGCTGAACATGAAGCAGCTGTGGTTCAGATGTTACTTTAGACAGCAGGAACATCTGGATGTTATGAACTGACTGACGTTCCTGAACGCACCACATCATCATCATAATCCTCATCCAAACTCAAACTAACTTCTGTCTGTCCTCACGGTTTTGTCCTCCATGTTGTAGTGACGTTCTCTGAACGCTGTGGGAGCGTTTGAACGTGTGGATTGTTCTTGACGTCCAAAGCGTGGATGGAGCTTTGCAGGGCGGCGGTGTGTTCAGGTGTCAAACAGAAATATGTGAATAAAACTTTTCTTTTGTTTCTTACAAGTGTATGTTTTTGTCTTCTGTTCGAAGTTCTGGTCGCAGTGTCGGCAGCCGCTGTCCGTACGCCTTACTGTCCGTACGCTTTACCGTCCGTACGCCTTACCGTCCGTACCCCTTACCGTCCGTACGCCTTACCGTCCGTACCCCTTACCGTCCGTACGCCTTACCGTCCGTACCCCTTACCGTCCGTACTGTCCGTACGCCTTACTGTCCGTACGCCTTACTGTCCGTACGCCTTACCGTCCGTACGCCTTACTGTCCGTACCCCTTACTGACCGTACTGTCCGTACCCCTTACTGTCCGTACCCCTTACCGTCCGTACGCCTTACCGTCCGTACCCCTTACCGTCCGTACCCTTACCGTCCGTACTGTCCGTACGCCTTACTGACCGTACTGTCCGTACACCTTACTGACCGTACTGTCCGTACCCCTTACTGTCCGTACCCCTTACTGTCGGTACCCCTTACCGTCCGTACCCCTTACCGTCCGTACCCCTTACCGTCCCTACCCCTTACCATCCGTACACCTTACTGTCCGTACTGTCCGTACCCCTTACTGTCCGTACGCCTTACTGTCCGTACCCCTTACTGTCGGTACCCCTTACCGTCCGTACACCTTACCGTCCGTACCCCTTACTGTCCGTACCCCTTACTGTCGGTACCCCTTACCGTCCGTACCCCTTACTGTCCGTACTGTCCGTACACCTTACTGTCCGTACTGTCCGTACCCCTTACCGTCCGTACTGTCCGTACGCCTTACTGTCCGTACGCCTTACTGTCCGTACGCCTTACCGTCCGTACGCCTTACTGTCCGTACACCTTACTGACCGTACTGTCCGTACACCTTACTGTCCGTACTGTCCGTACCCCTTACTGTCCGTACCCCTTACTGTCGGTACCCCTTACCGTCCGTACCCCTTACCGTCCGTACCCCTTACCGTCCCTACCCCTTACTGTCCGTACACCTTACTGTCCGTACTGTCCGTACTGTCCGTACCCCTTACTGTCCGTACGCCTTACTGTCCGTACCCCTTACTGTCCGTACCCCTTACTGTCCGTACCCCTTACTGTCGGTACCCCTTACTGTCGGTACCCCTTACCGTCCGTACACCTTACCGTCCGTACCCCTTACTGTCCGTACTGTCCGTACACCTTACTGTCCGTACTGTCCGTACACCTTACTGTCCGTACACCTTACTGTCCGTACTGTCCGTACCCCTTACTGTCCGTACCCCTTACTGTCGGTACCCCTTACCGTCCGTACACCTTACCGTCCGTAACCCTTACTGTCCGTACCCCTTACTGTCCGTACCCCTTACCGTCGGTACCCCTTACCGTCCGTACACCTTACCGTCCGTACCCCTTACTGTCCGTACCCCTTACTGTCGGTACCCCTTACCGTCCGTACCCCTTACTGTCCGTACCCCTTACTGTCCGTACACCTTACTGTCCGTACTGTCCGTACCCCTTACTGTCCGTACGCCTTACCGTCCGTACGCCTTACCGTCCGTACCCCTTACCGTCCGTACGCCTTACCGTCCGTACCCCTTACCGTCCGTACCCCTTACTGTCCGTACGCCTTACCGTCCGTACCCCTTACCGTCCGTACGCCTTACCGTCCGTACCCCTTACTGTCCGTACGCCTTACCGTCCGTACCCTTTACCGTCCGTATGCCTTACCGTCCGTACGCCTTACTGTCAGCTTTATAAATTAAACATTTAATTATTTACTTAAAGAAAATAATCACAAACTTCAGTTTATTTTTGTTGTTTATTTCATTAAGTATAAATATAGAATCATATGTTCAGTCTGGGTCTCCAGCTGTTACACTGTCTGATGCTAACCTGCATATGTTGGACAATTAGCATCATTAGCATCATTAGCATTAGTAACCAGCTATATCGTTATACATACAAAAAGGCCGTTTACACAGGAAGTGGTCGTATTAACTCCCAGTGGGCGGAGTTCTTCACTAATGCTGTGGTTATATTAATATATTAATCATATAAATCAAGATCAGTTTTTATATTGATAAAGAAAGTTCATAAATCATAAAATGATAATAACTAACTTTGTTTCTGGCGGTTTGTGCAGAGATATACAACACTTATAAATACAATAGGCTTTATGATGTGCCATAGAGGAATAGAAACATGTATTTTCATACAGAAGTGAGCATGAGGCGGATCCTGCTGGACAGTAACAACCACCCTACCACTCCATTATTCATTTATTAGTTTGGAATATAATGTACAACTCTTCCTCTAGACCTTGAACTATGCATTGGACCTTCCTCGAGAAAATAAAGCACATCTCTAATCCAGTGTACATGTGATGGAGGTTCAGGAGATTTCCTTTTCATCAGGATCTTCTGGCCAATAAAGTGTTGAAAGCAGTCCGAGCCTCCCCCCCACAGGAGAGCAGTGAGTGGGTTAGAGCCATACCGGTGATCACTACAAACATGAGTGATTGCATCCTATCACAGACAGATGCAGAAAAACTAATCCATGCATTTGTTACTTTAAGGCTGCTTCTGTTCGGATTATCATTTATTTTGAGGACAAAAGTATGAAACATTGAAAAGTTTTATTTTGAAGGCTGAACACCGAAGCGGAAGTGTCGACTGGTTCACAACCATATAAATATATAAATATATAAATATCTTTATGTGTCTAATGGTGCTTTCCATTTGTCTCGTGAACTCAGAACCCGACTTGGAAAGTGTAAATCTCGCAGCTATCTCGCGACATATCACAGAGACACGCCCCCTTTTGGTCGTAATTTCAGCCGTCCCACTCGGGGCTCTTCAGAGTGCACCGAGCTGAACGGGGGGGCACGTACGGCCCGCAAAACAAAGATAGCTGCACCCATAATGAGATGTATGCTCTTTGTATTTGTGCTACGTTGGTCGTTTTAATGTAGATTGTAAATTCTCCTACACACTGTTTACATTGCTGCTTTAGTCCGGTCACCAGTTCATACATTGCACCGTGTTACTGTGAGTTCAATACAATCAATACAACAATCAATACAACAATCAATACAATGTAAAGGTTGGTTTTAGAGCTGGTTTGCTAAATAGGCTAATGTAGCTAACAATAACACTGCCTACCCCTGGTGGCCCCTGGTGGCTCCTGGAGGCCCCTGGTGGCCCCTGGTGGCTCCTGGTGGCCCCTGGTGGCCCCTGGTGGCCCCTGGTGGCCCCTGGAGGCCCCTGGTGGCTCCTGGTGGCCCCTGGAGGCCCCTGGAGGCCCCTGGTGGCTCCTGGAGGCCCCTGGTGGCTCCTGGTGGCCCCTGGTGGCCCCTGGAGGCCCCTGGTGGCTCCTGGAGGCCCCTGGAGGCCCCTGGTGGCTCCTGGAGGCTCCTGGAGGCCCCTGGAGGCCCCTGGAGGCCCCTGGAGGCGGCCCCTGGTGGCACTTGTTGAAATTGAAATAGGTGAAAATGGCAAAATATAATTGAACTGTGAGACTTGCAGTAACAGAATTACTGTAATTAAAGTTAGTGTGTGTGGAGGAAACATTATTATTATTTACATTGTTTACAAACACAAACACTTCTCTCTGACGCTACCAGTGGGGGAAGACAGGGAATGACGTCACGTTCTCGCGGCAGAACAACTCGGGCTCCGAGCTCACGAGACAAATCACCCTCCCGGGAGATGTTACACCCGCTCCTTCCGACTAGACTTTTATTGTGAAGGCAGTGAGCGGAAGTGAGTACGGCGGCTCGGAGGGCTCAGTCCTCGCCGCTCCGCCGCTCGCGCTGACGATGGGAGACGTTGTCTGTGAAGAGCTCGAGGATTTGGTTCATTTCTCAGTGCACGACCTGCCGGCACGAGGCTATGTCGTCATGGAGGAGATCCGACGTCAGGGGAAACTCTGTGACGTCACGCTCAAGGTAAAAAACCGACGGCGCTCGCGACTGAAGTTAGCATGATAGCAGGGAGCTAGCGGAGCTAACAGCATGCTAACAGAAGCTAACAGCGGGTTATTAAGCTCACTGTTAGCATTCAGCTAACAACGCTGACCTTTCACCCGCCGCACACCGGAAGCACCTTAGAGGCTGCTGCTGCCGCGAGCCCCGCAGCAAGGCAGCAGGTTGCCATGGAGACAGTCAGCTGACGCTGGCAGGTGTTTCCGGTTTTCAAAAATGATAAGCTGTGCTTATTGATGAGGTGTACAGCAGAATCCCGAGTTATTGATTATGATCAGTGTGTGATCGGTGCTCAGAGCAGCGGACAGGTAATCAGGTAATCAGGTAATCCTCTTTGTGACGCAACATTCATCTGCTGATTGTGCAACTCATGGAACACACACCTGTACACAGCCAACACACACCTGTACACAGCCAACACACACCTGTACACAGCCAACACACACCTGTACACAGTTAACACACACCTGTACACACCTGTACACAGCTAACACACACCTGTACACAGCCAACACACACCTGTACACAGCCAACACACACCTGTACACAGCCAACACACACCTGTACACACCTGTACACAGCCAACACACACCTGTACACAGCCAACACACACCTGTACACACCTGTACACAGCCAACACACACCTGTACACAGCCAACACACACCTGTACACACCTGTACACAGCCAACACACACCTGTACACAGTTAACACAGCGGACAGGTGAGACTAACCCCTCCAGGTCAGTGAGTCAGTCTCTGTGTGTGAACTGTTCAAAGACTCTCAGACACCAGCAGAATATCTATCAGGATCAATATCTATCAGGATCAATATCTATCAGGATCAATATCTATCAGGATCAATATCATCAGGATCAATATCATCAGGATCAATATCATCAATAATAATAATAATAATACATTTTATTTGTAAAGCACTTTTTAAAAGAATCTCAAAGTGCTACAGAAACCAAGAAACACAATAACAAAGAAACAGTAAGGGCAATAAGACATTAAAATCAGTAATCAATAATAATACAAGTGATCAAATACATTAAGAACAACAGTTAAAAGAGGACAACTGAAGAACGGCTGCCTGAACAAGAGAGTTTGAAGCCCTTTTTTAACAGTGTCCACAGACTGGGGTTTTCACAGATGTTCAGGGAGGGAGTTCCAGATGTGAGGGGCAGCGGAGCAGAAGGTCTCCCATGGTGCAGAGTCTTGAGCGGGGCTGATGGAGGAGGTTTGTGCTTTGGGACCGGAGGTTACGGGTGGATGAGTGAGGGGTAAGGAGGTCTTTGAGGTATCGGGGGCGTGGGTGATGAGGGCGATCTCGTATCGGATCCTAGAGGTTAATGGGAGCCAGTGGAGGTTCTGAAGAATGTGGTCGTATTTGTGGGTTTTCATCAGAGTTCGGGCAGCACAGTTCTGAATGAACTGAAGGTTCTGAAGGTGTTTATTGGGTATACCGATGAGCAGGCTGTTACAGGAATCAAGCCTGGAGGAGATTAAGGCGTGGACGAGTTGTTCTGCGTCAGAGAAAGTGAGGAAGGGGCGGAGTTTTGAAATGTTGTTGATATGGAAGAAGCAGGTTTTGTACAGATGTTTGATGTGTTTGCAAAGGTCAGTTGTGGGTCCAGCTTCACACCGAGGTTGGTAACTGTGGTTGAGAGGAGGATGTCCTGACCGGAGAAGGAGACGGTGGTTATGGGTGATGACTGGACCTGATGAGGGGGGCCAATTCGTATGGCTTCAGTTTTAGAGCTGTTCAGCTGGAGGAAGTTGTGACTCATTCATCAGGATCAATATTATCAGGATCAATATCTATCAGGATCAATATCATCAGGATCAATATCATCAGGATCAATATCTAACAAGTTGCAGCCAATCAGAGCCTCTCTCCAGCAGACAGGAAGCAGAGAACCAGTAGTTACTATGGTAACGCCAGACAGTGAATGAGCCACCAATCAGTTCTATTGATCAGTATACACTGTATCTTTATTGATTATTGATCAGTATACACTGTATCTTTATGGATGATATTGATCAGTATACACTATCTTTATTGATTATTGATCAGAATACACTGTATCTGTATGGATTATTGATCAGTATACACTGTATCTGTATGGATTATTGATCAGTATACACTGTATCTTTATTGATTATTGATCAGTATACACTGTATCTTTATTGATTATTGATCAGTATACACTGTATCTTTATGGATGATATTGATCAGTATACACTGTATCTTTATGGATGACATTGATCAGTATACACTGTATCTTTATGGATGATATTGATCAGTATACACTGTATCTTTATGGATTATTGATCAGTATACACTGTATCTTTATTGATTATTGATCAGTATACACTGTATCTTTATGGATGATATTGATCAGTATACACTGTATCTTTATGGATGATATTGATCAGTATACACTGTATCTTTATGGATGATATTGATCAGAATACACTGTATCTTTATGGATGATATTGATCAGTATACACTGTATCTTTATGGATGATATTGATCAGTATACACTGTATCTTTATGGATGATATTGATCCTGTATTGACAGTCAGACTGTGGACATATGACGGCCTTTAGCTCGTGTTTCTAGAGTTACGTGTTGTTATGAACACGTTAGGAATTGTTAAAATGTGATATTTCTTAAAGGGAGTTTGTTAACGTTTAGTCTCCACTACAGAAACACTAGCTAACTGCTGAAGGCTGATCAGGTTGATTGATGCTTTAATAATGAGAGTATTGATTACTGATCAGGCTGATCAGGATCATTATACATACAGGAAGTGGTGTAGTGTGTATAGTCTGTATATTAATATGTTGGTTCCTCTCTGCAGGTCGGGGATCATAAGTTCAGCGCTCACCGGATCGTTCTGGCAGCCTCCATCCCGTACTTTCACGCCATGTTCACCAACGACATGGTGGAGTGTAAACAGGACGAGATCCTGATGCAGGGCATGGACCCCAGGTAACCATAGAGCAGTACCTGTAACCATAGACCAGAACCTGTAACCATAGACCAGTACCTGTAACCATAGACCAGAACCTGTAACCATAGACCAGAACCTGTAACCATAGACCAGAACCTGTAACCATAGACCAGAACCTGTAACCATAGACCAGTACCTGTACCCATAGAGCAGTACCTGTAACCATAGAGCAGTACCTGTAACCATAGACCAGAACCTGTAACCATAGACCAGTACCTGTAACCATAGACCAGAACCTGTAACCATAGACCAGAACCTGTAACCATAGACCAGAACCTGTAACCATAGACCAGAACCTGTAACCATAGACCAGTACCTGTACCGATAGAGCAGTACCTGTACCGATAGAGCAGTACCTGTAACCATAGACCAGAACCTGTAACCATAGACCAGTACCTGTAACCATAGACCAGTACCTGTAACCATAGACCAGAACCTGTACCCATAGAGCAGTACCTGTACCGATAGAGCAGTACCTGTACCCAGCAGAGCAGTGTGAGAGCAGTCTAACCAGTACCTGTCCCCGCAGTGCTCTGGAGGCTCTCATTAACTTTGCGTACAGCGGCCATGTTGCCATCGACCAGCAGAACGTTCAGTCTCTCCTGATTGGCTCGAGCTTCCTGCAGCTGCAGAACGTTAAAGACGCCTGCTGCTCCTTCCTGCAAGAGAGGTCAGTGGCACGCCACCGCACACGCTCAGTACGCTCACTCATCATGTTCAACATGTCTGTTACAGTAAATGTTCAGTTAAATGTGCTTTGGACCAGACTCTGTTTAAAAAACAGCTCATTTTAGAGCCGTCAGTCCAACCTCCAGCTCCCTTTAGTAGCTGCTCCAGAGCTTTCAGTCATACCCTCTGATCTTCATCCACCAGTTGGTCAAAGCAGTCTCACACCAGCTGTCTCTCTGTCTGTCTCTCTGTCTGTCTCTCTGTCTGTGTGGCGTTCAGGTTACATCCGAAGAACTGTCTGGGTGTGCGACAGTTTGCAGAGACCATGATGTGTACGACTCTGTACGACTCGGCCAGCAGCTTCCTCCATCAGCACTTTGTGGAGGTTTCTGTGTCGGAGGAGTTTCTGGGTCTGAGGACTGAGGAGGTTCTGGAACTGGTCGGCTGCGACGAGCTTAACATTAAAGCAGAGGAACAGGTAAGACTCCTCACCTGGACCCGTCAAAGAGAAATACACCTTCTCCATCTGCTCTACCTGTACAGGTGTGTGTTGAATGTGCTCGACCTGTACAGGTGTGTGTTGAATGTGCTCTACCTGTACAGGTGTTTGAGGCGGTGCTGGCCTGGGTTCATCATGACCGGGACCGGAGGGAGTCTCTGCTCCCGGAGCTGCTGTCAAAGATCAGACTTCCTCTGTGTCGACCTCAGTTCCTGTCAGACCGAGTCCAGCAGGACGACCTCGTACGCTGCTGCCATAAATGCAGGTAGGACTGTCTCACTCTCTGACTGTCTCACTCTCTGACTGTTTCACTTTCTGAATGTCTCTCTCTCTCTGACTGTCTCGCGACTGTCTAACTCTCTGACTGTCTCTCTCACTCTCTGACTGTCTCTCTCTCTCTCTCTGACTGTCTCACTCTCTGACTGTCTCACTCTCTGACTGTTTCACTTTCTGAATGTGTCTCTCTCTCTCTCTCTCTCTGACTGTCTCACGACTGTCTCACTCTCTGACTGTCTCTCTCACTCTCTGACTGTCTCTCTCACTCTCTGACTGTCTCTCTCTCTCTCTCTCTGACTGTCTCACTCTCTGACTGTCTCACTCTCTGACTGTTTCACTTTCTGAATGTCTCTCTCTCTCTCTCTGACTGTCTCACGACTGTCTCACTCTCTGACTGTCTCTCTCACTCTCTGACTGTCTCACTCTGACTGTCTCTCTCTCTGACTGTCTCTCTCTCTCTCCTGTTAGAGATCTGGTGGATGAAGCCAAAGATTTCCACCTGATGCCGGAGCGGCGCCCTCACCTTCCCGCCTTTAAGACCAGGCAGAGGTGCTGCACGTCCATCACAGGACTCATCTACGCTGTGGGAGGACTCAACAGCTCAGGTACACTGCTCCCCTGTCTGTCTGCACTCTTATTGTGAAAGTCTCCCCTTACTGATCATAATAGGACTCTTATTGTGAAAGTCTCCCCTCACTGATCATAATCGGACTCTTATTGTGAAAGTCTCCCCTCAATGATCATAATAGGACTCTTATTGTTTAAAAACTGCACAGACTTTTATTTTGTTTGTTTAATAACGGACCAATCACAGACAGCGTGTTGTCACTTTTTATGTTTTCAGGCGACTCTTTAAACGTGGTCGAAGTGTTCGATCCAACTGGGAACTTCTGGGAGCGCTGTCAGCCAATGAGGACGGCTCGCAGTAGAGTGGGCGTGGCCGTCGTTAACGGGCTGCTGTACGCCATTGGTGGATACGATGGCCAATCGCGGCTCAGCACGGTGGAGGTTTACAACCCGGAGACGGACAGCTGGACACGTGTGTCGAGCATGAACAGCCAGCGCAGGTCAATGCAGCGATCAGTACACTGATCAATTCACTGATCCGGAACCATCCCTTAGTTATGCTGCTATAGGCCTAGACTATCGGGGGATTTCCCATGGTGCACTGAGCTACTCTCTTCCTCTCTCTTTCTGCACTCATTCATGTTCCATTAATGCATGTTACTAACTTCACTTCTTCCCCGGAGTTCTTGTGCTTTCTCGTCTCGCAGGTTCTTATCGATCCTGGTGGAGCCTCCTGCCATGGTCCTGCTTGACTGCCATTGACAATACTGTTGTTACTGTGCACCTGTCTGTCTGTCTGTCTCTCTGTCTGTCTCTCCCTCTCTCTCTCTCTCTCTCCCTCTCTCTCTCTCTCTCTCTCTGTCTCTCTCACCCCAACTGGTCGAGACAGACGACCACCCACCTAGAGCTGAAGGATCTGTCCTAGGTTTCTGCCTTTTAACAGGCAGTGTTTCCTTGCCCTTGTCTCCAAGGTCTTGCTCATGGTGGTACTGTTGGGTCTCTGTAATTAATGTTAAAGAGTTCGGTCTAGACCTGCTCTATTTAAAAAGTGTCCTGGGATAACTTCTGTTATGAATTGGCGCTATACAAATAAAATTGAATTGAATTGAATTGATCAATACACTGATCAATACAGTAATCCTGACATAATAACAGTAGAATGTGTTCTCGTCCTCAGCGCCATGGGAACAGTTGTGATTGACGGACACATCTACGTGTGCGGTGGCTACGACGGAAAATCATCTCTGAACTCTGTAGAGTGTTACTCTCCGGAGACCGACAGGTGAGACTTACCTGTACGGGTTCATCAGGGAGCTTCATATATACACATTATATAATATATAATATATAATATATAAATATATAAACATATATACACATTATATAATATATAAATATATAAACATATATACACATTATATAATATATTAATATATAAACATATATACACATTATATAATATATTAATATATAAACATATATACACATTATATAATATATTAATATATAAACATATATACACATTATATAATATATTAATATATAAATACACATTATATTATATAATGTGTATATATGTTTATATATTATATAATGTATAAATATTTAGTTATGAGTTGTATATTAATGACGGCCTGCTGCAGGTGGACCGTGGTGACGGAGATGAGCGCCAGCCGCAGCGCTGCCGGTGTCACCGTGTTCGACGGACGCATCTTTGTCTCTGGAGGCCACGACGGTTTACAGATCTTCAACACTGTCAGTTTAATTGACAATCAATATTATATTATTATTATATTATTATATTATATACAATATTATATATATTGTATCAATAATCAATGATTATTATTTATGTTAACTCAAAGGGTCATATGTATTGATTGTTATTGATATTGATTGTTATTGATATTGATTGATATTGATATTATTGTCATTGATTGATATTGTTATTGATATGATTGTTATTGATATTGATTGGTATGATTGTTATTGATATGATTGTTATTGATATGGGTTATAATTGATATTGTTATTGATTGTTATTGATATGATTGTAATTGATATTGTTATTGATATGATTGTTACTGATATGGTTGTTATTGATTTTGATTGTTATTGATATGGGTTATAATTGATATTGTTATTTATTGTTATTGATATGATTGTTACTGATATGGATGGTTATTGATATGATTGATATTGATATTATTGTTTTTGTTATTGATTGTTCCCCCTCCCGTCCTGCAGGTGGAGTACTACAACCACCACACTAACCGCTGGCACCCTGCGGCAGCCATGATGAACAAGCGCTGTCGTCACGGGGCGGCAGCTCTGGGCAGTCACATGTACGTGGCAGGGGGGTACGACGGCTCGGGTTTCCTGAGCGGGGCCGAAGTGTTCAGCTCAGCGTCGGGTCAGTGGAGCCTTCTGGTGGCCATGAACACGCGGCGCAGTAGAGTGTCACTGGTTTCTACGTCGGGGCGTCTGTACGCGGTGGGCGGCTACGACGGACAGTCCAACCTGAGCTCGGTGGAGATGTACAACCCTGACACCAATCGCTGGACCTTCAGGGCGCCCATGGTCTGCCACGAGGGGGGGGTTGGGGTGGGCTGCGTCCCGCTGCAGCCCGCCTAAACCCTCCACTTAGAGGCCGAGGATCCATGCGTTACTGTCGTTCGCGGACGGCGCGGCGGCGCCCTCTGTTGGCGTTCACTGAGCTTTATCGGTACGACGGCCGGGCTCAGACCTGCACACTGACGCCAGGCCTGTGGGATTGTGGGTAAAAACTGTAGAGCTAGCCTGTGGAGGCTTGTGTTTATACTTGATTGAAACAGGAAGTCACTTCCTCTCCAAAACAAACAAACAAACAAAGCTGCTGACTGGAAACGGGACGAGCGCTCGGATCTGTTTTCTGTTCACTGGACCGAATTATTGATCAGCTGTAATCAATGAGTATGATTGACAGACAGGAAGTGGAGGTGTAGACACGTGAAGAAGAAACAGAGTGCGAGGTCCTCCAGCGCCCCCTGCAATCTGATTATTGATCTGAAGCCTCATGTCTGTCTGTCTGTTGCTTATCTGATAGATGTTAACATGCTAACACCAACATATTGGCGTTTTTAAGAGCCAATCAGACGACAGAAACAAGCGAGTTCTGTGATGATTGTAAAAACGATTTCTGATTCATAGTCTGATTTGTGTTTTTTTTGGCGCCCCCCCCCCCAGTGGTGGATTTGAATGAAACTTTCAGGGTGTTTCAGGTCTACATATGGAAGTATCCTGTGAGGTCTGTGACGGTTGTTGACTTCTGTTTATGTGTTGAGCCACGCCCCCTCTGAAGCTCATTGGTTGACATGTTGAAAACTATTAATAATGGCACCACCATTTGGCTTATGGGGCTCATGTTTGTTGGGAAGCACTTGCTCATTATTTCCTGTTATTGGACCAAGTTTCTTGTTTCCAGATCATTTCAGCTCACTGTAATAATAATAATAATAATAATAATAATATTAATAGTGTTTCAGGCCTTTCTACCCCTTATAAAAGCTCATGTAGTCGGATAGCAGTGTGTTGAATTAGCTGTTAGCAGCTCCTATTAGCATTGATGCACAGACAGATATCACTGATTAACAGAAACAGGATGATCCTCTTTGTGGATTTCTGGACGTTTATCAGAGTTATTGATCTCCTCACTGAATGATCAATCAATATGAATATCTGTTTACTGTTTGAGTTCTCTCTCAGTTATCTCTCTGAGGAGGTAGCAGTGTGTTTACCTCCCCTTCAGCTCTCTGGCGTCCCCCTGTGGAGGCTTTATTCTTTGTCCTGCTGAATGTAGTTCCACCAGATGAAGCTGCAGTTCCTCTAACGGCCACCAGAGGCTCCAGCAGTGAGTCAGGCTCCATATGTTGTACATATATGGATATGTTTACAGCCTGTTGCTCTCTACAGATCATCTCCCCTCTTTAAATGATATTAAGGTTGAACTTATGCAGAATTAAGGGCGTTTGTCCTGATGGGGGCGCTAGAGGACAAAAGGCTGCTGTTCACATTTAATCAATAAAGTGATTTATAACGTGATTAATAAAAAAGATTTTTTTAAAGTCTCAACAATGATTGGATATTGATCCCCTGTTTGAAGTAGGGCGGCAGTTTGTTGGATCAATGGTTGATTTTCAGTCAAATGATCGTTCCCACTAATCAATCAATAATTTATTGAATATCTGTGCAGCCCTACTTTTACAGCCAATAATCCATCAGTTCAATCTGCAGACTCAATCAATGAATGTTAATTAAACCATAATCAACGATTCCTTCCAGACCTTTCAGCTGCCTCGTGTGGTCTTCCTCAGCTGTCGTCATGGAGAGTTCAGTTGTTTGTGATGAAGACCAGGACATACAGCTGAAAGCTTTGGGCTTTTTCTAGTAAGCACTGAGAGTAAACATTCATTGATATTTATATTGATAAGTAAACACTGACGTTATTGAGTCGGCACTCTCCAGCTTCGTTTTTATATGTATTGATGATGATTGATTTTTTTTTCCCTTAGAGGTTTGTGGATCATTAAAATGCTGCTGTTTCCTGACTGAACATCTCATATTTATTATTGATCATAATAAGTGTGTGTGTGTGTGATCAATGATCAGTGAATGTTATTGATCCTTCCTAAGCCCCGCCCCTTTCCGAGCCTCAGTCCACTCCCTCCTGTCCTGTATTTAGATATGCTATGCTAGGCTAATCTATGTTGAAAAGACAACCACACTTTGAAGATGGTTAAAAGACAAAAGAGACAGTCACATCTTCAGTTAGCTAATGTTAGCAAAACACTAGTTAACTAGCTACTCGTTCACTCTCCCTCTGCTCATTTATTCCTGGAAATTTTCTCCACTAAGAAGAAGAAATAAACTGGTTCTTCACATAATATATCATAGTTATCATCATTGTGTATTGTAAAAGTCACGATAAACTAGCGCACACTGAAATGACTTCACTGTGATTTATTTAGGAGCGTTTGTTCTTCCTCAGGTAAGTTACCTGAGCACTCACAGGGTCACATGACCAGCCGTCACAGTCTTCATAATAATATATCGTAATCTTCACACATCGTCTTGTAATCTTTATTTAGTAACTCACAAGTTTGACATAATGTCTAATGATCAGACAGAAGCCGCACTAATGCAGGACCCTGTACAGCCTGGATACAGGGACCAGTCCAAGTTGGGTCCTCAGGTGTTCTGGGACCAGGTTTACCTGAAGACTCATCACATTCACATTCAGCCGTTTCATCAGAAGAAACTGGGTTCAGGTCAGATCACTGCTGATTTCTGTTCACGCTGGACTTCCTGCACACGTCACCAGGTAGAAAATCCTCCAGCAGAGACCAGGTCCACCTCACAGAGTCCACATCCAGAAGGTCTCTGCTGGTTTTCAGTCTGCTCCTCACGTCCTCTACTGGGATCACTGTCCTGGAGGTCCTGGAGGTCCTTGAGTCCTAGAGTCCAGAGCAGCAGAAGCACTGGCAGCCCCCTCAGGCTCTGAGTGCAGACCTGCACACCTGGACAGATCAATTAATTAATTCCTAAACTTTACAGTCCAGGAAGTGTTTTAGGATATATACAATATCATATCACAACTGATAAGTGTAGTTTCTCTTAAAGCTCCTGTATGTAGCATTAAACTGTAGCTAACAGCGCCACCAGTGGTCGTTCATTAAACTGTAGCTAACAGCGCCACCAGTGGTCGTTCATTAAACTGTAGCTAACAGCGCCACCAGTGGTCGTTCATTAAACTGTAGCTAACAGCGCCACCAGTGGTCGTTCATTAAACTGTAGCTAACAGCGCCACCAGTGGTCGTTCATTAAACTGTAACTAACAGCGCCACCAGTGGTCGTTCATTAAACTGTAACTAACAGCGCCACCAGTGGTCGTTCATTAAACTGTAGCTAACAGCGCCACCAGTGGTCGTTCATTAAACTGTAGCTAACAGCGCCACCAGTGGCCGTTCATTAAACTGTAGCTAACAGCGCCACCAGTGGTCGTTCATTAAACTGTAGCTAACAGCGCCACCAGTGGCCGTTCATTAAACTGTAGCTAACAGCGCCACCAGTGGTCGTTCATTAAACTGTAGCTAACAGCGCCACCAGTGGTCGTTCATTAAACTGTAACTAACAGCGCCACCAGTGGTCGTTCAGTGAACTGTAACTAACAGCGCCGCCAGTGGCCGTTCATTAAACTGTAGCTAACAGCGCCACCAGTGGTCGTTCATTAAACTGTAGTTAACAGCGCCGCCAGTGGTCGTTCATTAAACTGTAGCTAACAGCGCCACCAGTGGTCGTTCACTAAACTGTAGCTAACAGCGCCACCAGTGGTCGTTCATTAAACTGTAACTAACAGCGCCACCAGTGGTCGTTCATTAAACTGTAGTAAACAGCGCCACCAGTGGCCGTTCATTAAACTGTAGCTAACAGCGCCACCAGTGGTCGTTCATTAAACTGTAGCTAACAGCGCCACCAGTGGTCGTTCATTAAACTGTAGCTAACAGCGCCACCAGTGGTCGTTCATTAAACTGTAGCTAACAGCGCCACCAGTGGTCGTTCATTAAACTGTAGCTAACAGCGCCACCAGTGGTCGTTCATTAAACTGTAGCTAACAGCGCCACCAGTGGTCGTTCAGTGAACTGTAACTAACAGCGCCACCAGTGGTCGTTCAGTGAACTGTAGCTAACAGCGCCACCAGTGGTCGTTCATTAAACTGTAGCTAACAGCGCCACCAGTGGTCGTTCATTAAACTGTAGCTAACAGCGCCACAAGTGGTCGTTCAGTGAACTGTAGCTAACAGCGCCACAAGTGGTCGTTCAGTGAACTGTAACTAACAGCGCCACCAGTGGTCGTTCATTAAACTGTAGCTAACAGCGCCACCAGTGGTCGTTCAGTGAACTGTAACTAACAGCGCCACCAGTGGTCGTTCAGTGAACTGTAACTAACAGCGCCACCAGTGGTCGTTCAGTGAACTGCATCCTGGGCGTCGGCCAACAGAGACAAATACTGAACGCTGTAAAATAACTGACGATCATATTTAGAATAACGTTACTATCTGCAATGTTCCTATATTTTATTTGGACCGTTAGCTCCATGCTAATAACTAGCTCGCCGTTTACAAATCACCCATCAGCCAACACCACGAAGCAACCAACACCAGACCCACAATGCAACACCAAGATACAGCTGGAGAACCTCAGTTAGCTTAGCTACAGTTAGCTAGCTGGATACCCGCAACACTCTTGGCTAGTAGAAAGCAATCGTTAGTTTTGTGCTGTTAACATCATTTATTGTTGGCTAACATCAGCACCGTTTGTCAGAATACAGAAGTTAAAGGCGCCTGGTTAGCTCATTCGGTAGAGCTGGTGACCCATGTACGGAGTTGCTTGCCCGGGTTTAAATCTGACCTGCGACCCTTTGGTGCGTGTCATCCCCTCTCTCTTTGCCTCCCTTTCCTGTCTATCTTTGGCTGTCCTACTATAAAAAACAAAAAAAAAAAAAAGAATACATAAGTTAGCATCGTGGATCATGTTAGCTGGGGAGTTTAACGTTAGCCAACTAACATATCCACTCAGATAGGATTTTGATAGTGATAATGGTAGTGAGCAAACAAGGTACTTTGTATCCTACAAAGTAAGTCTGGATGAAGCTAGCTGACAATATATTGCTGCGTTACGTAGCTAGTAATTTGTCCACCTTAGCCAGAAAGCTAACATTATCCAGCTGAAAGCACAATCAGACAATATGTTCCACAAGCTTTGTGTTGGTGGTGTTGGTGGTGTTGGTTGTATTGGCGGTGTTGGCAGTGTCCGCGGTGTCGTTGTTGGCAGTGTCCACGGTGTCGTTGTTGGCGATGTCGGTGTTGTTGGTGGTGTCGGTGTTGGTGGTGTCGGTGTCGGTGTTGGTGGTTTCGGTGTTGTTGGTGGTGTCGGTGTTGTTGGTGGTGTTGGTGTTGGTGTTGGTGGTGTCGGTGTTGTTGGTGGTGTCGGTGTTGGTGGTTTCGGTGTTGTTGGTGGTGTCGGTGTTGGTGGTGTCGGTGTTGTTGGTGGTGTTGGTGTTGGTGTTGGTGGTGTCGGTGTTGTTGGTGGTGTCGGTGTTGGTGGTGTCGGTGTCGGTGTTGGTGGTGGTGTCGGTGTTGGTGGTGTCGGTGTTGGTGGTGGTGTCGGTGTTGTTGGTGGTGTCGGTGTTGGTGTTGGTGGTTTCGGTGTTGTTGGTGGTGGTTTCGGTGTTGTTGGTGGTGTCGGTGTTGGTGTTGGTGGTGTCGGTGTTGTTGGTGGTGGTGTCGGTGTTGTTGGTGGTGTCGGTGTTGGTGGTGTCGGTGTTGTTGGTGGTGTCGGTGTTGGTGTTGGTGGTGTCGGTGTTGTTGGTGGTGTCGGTGTTGGTGGTTTCGGTGTTGTTGGTGGTGTCGGTGTTGGTGTTGGTGGTGTCGGTGTTGTTGGTGGTGTCGGTGTTGGTGTTGGTGGTGTCGGTGTTGTTGGTGGTGTCGGTGTTGGTGTTGGTGGTGTCGGTGTTGGTGTTGGTGGTGTCGGTGTTGTTGGTGGTGTCGGTGTTGTTGGTGGTGTCGGTGTTGGTGTTGGTGGTTTCGGTGTTGTTGGTGGTGTCGGTGTTGTTGGTGGTGTCGGTGTTGGTGTTGGTGGTGTCGGTGTTGTTGGTGGTGGTGTCGGTGTTGTTGGTGGTGTCGGTGTTGTTGGTATCGGTGTTGTCGGTGTTGTTGGTGTCGGTGTTGTTGGTGGTGTCGGTGTTGATGTTGGTGGTGTTGGTGGTGTCGGTGTTGTTGGTGGTGTCGGTGTTGATGTTGGTGGTGTTGGTGGTGTCGGTGTTGTTGGTGGTGTCGGTGTTGGTGTTGGTGGTGTCGGTGTTGTTGGTGGTGTCGGTGTTGTTGGTGGTGTCGTTGTTGGTGGTGTTGGTGGTGTCGGTGTTGTTGGTGGTGTCGGTGTTGGTGTTGGTGGTGTCGGTGTTGTTGGTGGTGTCGTTGTTGGTGTTGGTGGTGTTGGTGGTGCTGGTATCATGCAGTGACTCACGGTGTCTCTGCAGGCTGGAAGCGGCTCTCCTCTCCATCGAGGATGCCGTGGTACATTCCGATCTCCTGCTCCAGTCGCTGCTTGTTGCTCAGCAACGTATCGTAGTCGCGGCGCTGCTGTTCAATCTCGCTGCGCACGTCTGCGAGCTCCGCCTCCAGCTTGGACACCACGGAGCCCAGGTTCTGCAGCTCCATGTCATGCCAGTGCCGGGCGTCATCCAGAGAGTTCTCCAGACCTCGTTTCTGCAGGACGACAACAAACAAACGAGTACACTCCTACTCACTCTTAGGGCAGTTATTAATTGAACTGATAAGGTTATTAAATGCTGTGCGTCTCACCAGCGCTCTGATGGACTCGGTCTCGGCTTGCAGACTCTGGATCTTACAGCCGGTGTCATTACACTCGGCCTTCAGCGCCTCCACCTGCTCCTCCTCAGGACTCAGTCTGCTGCTCACGCACTGCGCCTCCTGCAGGGACACACAGCAAACACATCTTAAAGGAACAGTCCAGTACACGAGGACACCTGCGCGGGTGAGACTTCCTCACCTTGCACTCCAGGTAGCTGTCGGTCTCGGCTCGGTTCCTTTCCGTCACCTTCTCCCAGTGGCTCCGGATGTAGGCCAGGATCTGGTCTAGACTGGTTTCTATGGGAGCATCGGGTTCGTCCACCTCACGTCCCGCCATCTGACTGTAGAGGACTCGCACGTCCTGCAGGAACAGGAAGTAGACAGGAAGTGGACAGGTCACATAAGAGTTCACTGCTCATGAGTGTATAAATAAATCTGTATGATTTATTTACCTGTTTATGTTATATTTGTTTGTTATTGTGGTATTTTAATGTGTTGTAGAATAATTCATTAATTAACTTAACAAATCATCACATTTTCCATTATTCTGTTTCCTTCAAATGGTGGTCGAGACAGAGACAGACGACCACCCACCTAGAGCCGGAGGATCTGTCCTAGGTTTCTGCCTTTTAACAGGCAGTTTTTCCTTGCCCTTGTCGCCAAGTGCTTGCTCATGGTGGTACTGTTGGGTCTCTGTAAATAATGTTAAAGAGTTCGGTCTAGACCTGCTCTATTTGAAAAGTGTCCTGAGATAACTTCTGTTATGAATTGGCGCTATACCAATAAAATTGAATTGAATTGAATTCAAATGATGATTGAATCAGTATTAAAATAATGTTTAATTTAAAACCCCAAAATCGAATTATTAATTAAATAATTATTCTTTGTTTATTTGATTTTGTTATTAAGTTAAAAAAAATAAAGTGATACGTGTATAAATGTAAACAAATGAATAAATTTAGATTCTGTTTACACATACACATTTCATGAATTAAATTATTATATTTGTATTGATCAGCTGATTGATGATAGTTCTCACAGTGACATGATCAGCTGTGTGATTGTTAAATGTGTGTGTGTCTGTGGTTAAATGGAGTGTTTTTTTTAACAGAGTTTGGTGCAACCTGCTCGTGGCTGAGTTCCAGGTTGCGTAGCTCCGCCCTCATGTTCTCCATCTGCTCCTCCAGCTCTGCCTTCGTCAGGTTGGCGTCATCGATCACTTTATATAGAGAGCTGATCTCCTCCTCCACCGCCCTCCTGAACGGCTGCTCGTTCTCAAACCTGTAGGACGGAGGGACAAGTTACTCATCATCATCCTCATCATCCTCAGAGTGCAGTAACTACAGTCTGAGTGTGTTCTTCCTGACAGTCTCATTTATTACATCATTCATCAATCTGTATTTCTGATTGTTATTTATACATACAATATACAATATATAATATTATTGTACACTTGCGCAGTAATATGCAAACTACTGTAAAACTTCTAATAACAGCCTGGGCATTTATTAGCTTAAATTACTGAATTATTGATTACGCTATTATCACTATTATCTGCTCCAATGGGCTCAGCTAATAATCCCCAGATGGAGTCAGGAAGATTCCCTTTGTTTTAATTTCCACATTGTTCTGAAATTGTCCAAAATTCAGGATTTACAGACACTGAAGCTGCAGTGACTGCAGCTGAAGCTCAGAGACAGCGAGGGAGAGCGCAGTGACTGCAGCCGAAGCTCAGAGACAGCGAGGGAGAGCGCAGTGACTGCAGTCGAAGCTCAGAGGCAGCGAGGGAGAGCGCAGTGACTGCAGTCGAAGCTCAGAGGCAGCGAGGGAGAGCGCAGTGACTGCAGTCGAAGCTCAGAGGCAGCGAGGGAGAGCGCAGTGACTGCAGCCGAAGCTCAGAGGCAGCGAGGGAGAGCGCAGTGACTGCAGCGAAGCTCAGTGACTGAGCGAAGCTCAGAGACAGCGAGGGAGAGCGCAGTGACTGCAGTCGAAGCTCAGAGACAGCGAGGGAGAGCGCAGTGACTGCAGCTGAAGCTCAGAGACAGCGAGGGAGAGCGCAGTAACTGCAGTCGAAGCTCAGAGACAGCGAGGGAGAGTGCAGTAACTGCAGCTGAAGCTGCCTGGAGGTTATAGAGTGAGACTGAACTTAGATCCTGATCTCTGGTCCCATTGTTGTCTTTGTGGTCTAACTGAGGGGAAATCCCTCTGCAGTGCAGTCAAGGTTTATGGCAGATCTGTGATGCTTTATCCAAAATCCATGGACTTTCTTTTCTAGTGGACCCTGAGATATACGGTCATATTCTAACCTTATACATTCAAGTAAATTCAATTCAATTCAGTTTTATTTGTATAGCGCCAATTCATAACAGAAGTTATCTCAGGACATTTGTCAAATAGAGCAGGTCTAGACCGAACTCCTTATAACATTATACAGCTATATATAGCTTAATATACAGTAAGCATTCTATCTCTCCAGCAGGATGAAGGGAAGCAATAATTTCAGAAAGGCTAAATTATAACAACATAAGGTTACTGCTTCAAAATTAATATTATTTGAATTTATTAACGAAATAGGCACCAACGTTCCACACTATTCTAATTCATGAGGCAGGTGCGTAGGAGAGGGAGGAGTTTCCAAAGGTAGAAAAGATAAATGTCTATGTTCTGTACCGAAACATTAAATGTTTGTATTGCAAAAACCTGGTCTAATTGTGACTCAACTGATGAGTGAAACTGGTTTACAGCCATCAATAATCAATAATCACTGTTCCCATGAGTGCGTGTGTGTGTGTGTGTGTGTGACCTCTGACCTGTCCTTGAAGTCCTCAGCGTTGGCCTGAACATTCTCCGTCTGCAGCATCAGCCGAGCGTTGTCCAGGATGGCTTCACTGACCTGCAGAAAAAGCAGGAAATCAGAGAACTTAGAGCAGCTGCTGCCAGCAGGGGGCAGCACAGACACACACACAGAGGAAGCAGATTGAGCTGTACTCAGTGATCAATATGATGCATTATTATCGATTACAGGTGTGTTCAGTGGTTGAGAGGAGTTCATGAAACATCACAATAATAAAAACTGCACAATGAATGGACATATTAATGAAATCTCAATATCTAAACCATAATGCAGATAATGCTGCAGACTGCGAGGCAGAGAACACTCCACAGTGTGTACACAGTGTGTGTGACTTTCTGACTGAGAGTGTACTATGTGAGTTCATTGTACAACTACTGACACACCAGAGAACCTGAGAGAAAATCAGAGAACATCAGAGAACATCAGAGAACATCCTATCACAGAACTCTGCTGAACGTTACTAACAAGCTTTATATTCCATCAGTTGACACACTGAGCATCACATCCTGTTGTTGGCATGAAAGGAAGTGAACGTTCTCACTGTCAGCAATTTAACTTTCAGTCACAGGACACAGCCGGTCTGTTGTTCCTCCAACTGTCTGTCTGTCTGACTCACCTTAAACCAGATGATGTTATAATGCAGCCAGCATGAAACACTGTCTACCTGTCTGTAGATGTCCTCTACCTGTCCTTAACTGTCTGTAGACCTCCTCTACCTGTCTGTAGACCTCTTGTACCTGTCTGTAGATGTCCTCTACCTGTCTGTATACGTCCTCTACCTGTCTGTATACTTCCTCTACCTGTCTGTAGATGTCCTCTACCTGTCCTTACCTGTCTGTATACGTCCTCTACCTGTCTGTAGATGTCCTCTACCTGTCCTTACCTGTCTGTAGATGTCCTCTACCTGTCTGTAGATGTCCTCTACCTGTCCTTACCTGTCTGTAGAACTCCTCTACCTGTCTGTATACGTCCTCTACCTGTCTGTATACGTCCTCTACCTGTCTGTAGATGTCCTCTACCTGTCCTTACCTGTCTGTAGAACTCCTCTACCTGTCTGTATACGTCCTCTACCTGTCTGTATACGTCCTCTACCTGTCTGTAGATGTCCTCTACCTGTCCTTACCTGTCTGTATACGCCTCTACCTGTCTGTCCTCTACCTGTCTGTATACGTCCTCTACCTGTCTGTAGATGTCCTCTACCTGTCCTTACCTGTCTGTAGATGTCCTCTACCTGTCCTTACCTGTCTGTATACGTCCTCTACCTGTCTGTAGACCTCCTCTACCTGTCTGTAGACCTCTTGTACCTGTCTGTAGATGTCCTCTACCTGTCCTTACCTGTCTGTATACATCCTCTACCTGTCTGTAGACCTCCTCTACCTGTCTGTAGACCTCTTGTACCTGTCTGTAGACCTTCTCTACCTGTCTGTATACGTCCTCTACCTGTCCTTACCTGTCTGTAGGTGTCCTCTACCTGTCTGTAGAACTCCTCTCCCTGTCTGTATACGTCCCCTACCTGTCTGTATACGTCCTCTACTTGTCTGTAGACGTCCTCCACCTGTCTTTAGACCTCCTCTACCTGTCTGTAGACCTCCTCTACCTGTCTGTAGACCTCTTGCACCTGTCTGTAGATGTCCTCTACCTGTCCTTACCTGTCTGTATACGTCCTCTACCTGTCTGTAGACCTCCTCTACCTGTCTGTATACGTCCTCTACCTGTCCTTACCTGTCTGTAGGTGTCCTCTACCTGTCTGTAGAACCCCTCTCCCTGTCTGTTTACGTCCTCTACCTGTCTGTAAACGTCCTCCACCTGTCTTTAGAACTCCTCTACCTGTCTGTAGACGTCCTCTACCTGTCTGTAGATGTCCTCTACCTGTCCTTACCTGTCTGTATAGACAGGTATATGTCCTCTACCTGTCCTTACCTGTCTGTATACGTTCTCTACCTGTCTGTAGACCTCCTCTACCTGTCTGTGGACCTCTTGTACCTGTCTGTAGATGTCCTCTACATGTCCTTACCTGTCTGTATACGTCCTCTACCTGTCTGTAGACCTCCTCTACCTGTCTATAGACCTCTTGTACCTGTCTGTAGACCTCCTCTACCTGTCTGTATACGTCCTCTACCTGTCGTTACCTGTATGTAGGTGTCCTCTACCTGTCTGTAGACCTCCTCTCCCTATCTGTATACGTCCTCTACCTGTCTGTATACGTCCTCTACCTGTCTGTAGACGTCCTCTACCTGTCTGTATACGTCCTCTATTTATCTGTAGACATCGTCTACCTGTCTGTAGATGTCCTCTACCTGTCTGTAGATGCCCTCTACCTGTCTGTAGATGTCCTCACCTGTCTGTAGACGTCCTCCCAGTCCCTCCTGAGGGGTCCCCAGGCTCCGGCGCTGGATGCTTTGCGGTCCAGACAGAGTCTGATCTGGTCCTCCAGCTGCTGGTTCAGCTGTTCCAGGGCTCGGACTTTGTCCCGGTACTCCATCAGGCAGCTGTTCAGCCCTGCAGCCGCACCGTGACCTGCTGACCGTTCCCCGGCGCGGGGAAGCACTGGCGCTGCGCTGCTCCTCATCCCCTGCAGGAACACACTGCTGATGCCCAGAGCTCGCCGGGACACCCGCGTCCCCAGACAGGAGGCCCCGCCCACTGGAGGGGC